TGAAAATCTGGCATTTAGGTTTGTTTTTTCTGTTTTTCTGCTCTACTGCAATCTATGTGGGTCCAATTAGTGTGTTTTAAGTTTCTGGTGTATTGGCGGGATATTCCCTGTCCTCCCAGTTTGCCCATATGGCCGTAGGCTGTGTATCTGCTGTGTTAATGAGCCTGTCAGTTTCCTACCCACTCAGGGCTGGTCCAAGATGGGCTGATGAGCATGTATGCACTCAGTACTGCATGCACTGCTGAGATTGTCTCTTAACAATTTTCAATCATCCTACACAGCTAATTCACTCACTCTGTGCACTTCGTATTCAGAAACAATTTCTGGTGTTAGTTACTATACTTTAACACCATGGTCCTGCTCCAGTCAACTGACAGAGACTGCTGACCTCTGCGTGACACACTTACACGAGACAAATCTGAGACATGCATTACATGTAGTTTAGATAAGAAGTAACATTTTTCCACATACAAGTTTTATTGCACACATATATCGAGCGCGTTCAGAATTAGGCTAAGTGTAGCACTGGTGGTTCTCTGGCTGTTTGTATTGCAATGTCAGCACCGAAAATGTGTCAGTACATTAGATAGATAGGGAGAAGAAAATTCAGCACTTAAACATGACTTGAGCTAAAAGCCTATTTTTGTGTCAGGCTGACCACTACAGTATTTTTGAAATGATATAAACACATTAATCCAACTGATTAAGTGCTTGATCTAATTTCTTAGGTTAGGCTGGCGAACACAGATACTGTGAGTCAGATTACTCCTTCATGTATATGTTCAAACTGGCCTAAGCTAAGCTGGAGCTGGCGTCTCTGCATATTCCATAATTGCCTTCTCTTGTATTTGGAGTAATGATAATAATTCAGATTCGCAAAAAATGGATACTCTTTGCCAATTTGTATTCTGTACAAATTGTGCATAATACGTACTTAGATTAGTTTAAATTACATGTTATTGATTACACATTGGGGAAATTGTTGCAAAACTAAACTGTTATTTTACTTAAAAACAAAGTATAACAAAGACATGTAGCTGAAATTGTTTTGTGTGTTTAATTCACGTTGAATTTTGTTAGTCATAGTAATTGATGTGTTCATTAGTACGTAGTACTATATCTTGCAACTGCACATTTGCAGCCTAAAAAAAAAAGATAGTAGTTTGTTATTTGTGCATTTATATCAGGCAAGTATGCAAAACAAAAGATGTGTTGGTGTCCCCTATTGTTTATTTTTATGTATGAAGCCTGAGTGACTGTCTTTAGAGGAATGCCTCAGGGCCCTGGGAAATCTGGACAGAATTAGCACAGTTTTACTCTCAGATTCTCCAGCTGCTGATAGTGTTGATGAGGCGACGTCGTTTGACTAAAGCACTTGATTCTATATGTTTTCGTGGCTGCACGAAGCCCTTGGTGGTACAATCAACGTCTTCCCACAGCACTGACATCACACCCTGGAGACAAGGTTTGGCAGGCACAGCTGGATCTCCTATTGGAGGATCTGTGTGCATACATTTACATAACAATAAACCCAGAGAGGTTTTAAGGAGCGAATAAAAAAAGCCAACCAAGATTTCCAAAGATCATTAAATGATGGCAACTTTCTGTTTACAAGATGTGTGCTTTACCTCAAGGTGAACACTGGGGCAGGCATACATTTGCATGAATTAACATGCCTAAGTAGAGAGGGGACACTGCTTTTTCGTTACAGACAGACAAAGTCGATAAATCAAAATGAGGGCCAGCAGCTCAAGTGATTGTATGTGGCACCGTGGTCACCACGGAGACGTAGGAATGAGTGTGCAGAAGACTCACAAAATGGGACGTCGCTCTGTCCTCCATAATTCTGGGATGAATATGTATAGGTATGAGCTCAGTGGACGAGGCCCGTGGGGGAGTAATTGTGTAGACAAAAAAGATCGAAATTAAAATAGAAGAACTATGAAGATAGGAAAACCTATGAAGATAATATTCTCTCCTAACATCCACCATACAGTTTCATTTTTAAAATGCATGGATAGTGTCAATGCATGTGTTAATCAAGTAAAAATAGTAAAACTTATTCTATTGGGCATTAAAACGTTTTTTTTTTTAAAGTCTGTTGCTCACTGGCTTTGAATCACAAACAGACAGATGGGTTAATTTGAAATTGAAATTTGAAGTTCACTTGCTTCTTACTTCAAAATTTTTATTTACAAGTGAAACATGTATTAATTCCTCAACCCTTATAGCATAACAACTAACTGCTAATCAGTGATCAAATGCTTTATTTTTTTTCCTTTCCTTCTTAACAAAGCACAACTCAAAACCAAAAAAATATGCAATTTCAAATAATAAACAAAGACACGTCTGAGCCTAGTATATCAGAATGTACTCTTATGCATTTGTGCGTTTGTGCATAGGAGGCATGGACATTCACAGGCTTATACCCACCTCTATGAAGAACCACCTAAGTCTCATGCTGCCCATCAATGGCCCTGTAGTTCTTCCAGATATAGTATCTTTGCCCATTCAAAACCTAATCCTGATTTCACCAACATGTCATCATTAAATAATCACTTCCAAATTGCTTCAAAACATTTATGAAACTGCTGTTGTTATTTCAGTCAAACCAACTGTGAGTAGCGCTGCTGCCTTCACAACCTCAACATTCAGAACTAAGATTTTTTTTTTTTCTCGATCCCCTTAAGCTTTTATTTTTTTGGTAATGTTAACATATGTTTAGGTTCCATTCCCTAAGTTCTGAGCCTAATCTCCATCTCCTTTGCTGCCAGTGAGACCTCAACTAAGTTCCTGTAATTTATTACAGTATTGGCTCCCTGGAGTAACACTGTTAGGTAAATAGAGAGTGTAAAGAACTGCACAATAAACATTATTCCTTTCCTTATTTGATGATTCATGACAAAATAAAGCCACTAAATCCAATCATGGACTTACATTATCTGTTTTTACTTGTGTATTCATTTTTGAATCAATATCTTGGCAGGCGTTCTGCCAACTCTATCCTTCACTGTGAGGATGCCATCAGCCAAGCAGTTGGCATCATCCGGTGTTAAGGGTCCAATCTTTGTCCCGTTCTTGTGTCTTAAATTGCAAAACTACCACCAGGCCATCGCTGGCTGTTTTCTGAAAAGGCTTCAGTCTAGTCATTTGACCCAAAGCACAGAATCGAGAAGCCAATTCTGTGAGAAGCCAAAGTGTTGCTGAAACACTGAGGGCTTTAGGCTTACGGGAACAATCAAAGCTTCATAAATAATTTTCATACATCCATGCCCTCATCTTTGTCTGGGGCTGAGTGGATAGAGGACCTCCAGTCACCAGGAGGGTGGAGGGTCAGTCCTTTTCTATTCCAGTCTGTATGTTAATGCTGAACTCAAACACTTAAAAGTTTCATTAAAAAAGTGAAAAAGAAGAAACGAAAAAAGTTTCATTAATTGCATTACATTTACTTTTTGTAATGGTTGTGCATACCTCTAACCATTTAATACAGCCAGGTCTGCAGCAATACTTTGACCTGGCTTAGTAAAGCTGTATTAAATGTTTACTATAGATGTTTGGATTACTTTTATATTTAGTATTTTGTAGAATAACTCAATTTTTTGTTGAATTAAATTTGTATTTATTTTAAAGTTTTTTTTACCCATTGAAGCACTGAAGTAGATCATCTTTTTACATTAGTGGCAGTGCAGCAGAAGTTTGGTCTCTTTCTGCACCAGCTCGATTAAACCACAGCCTCCCTTTACTCCTCGCAGCCTAAATGGACACTAATAAAGTTGCTCTTTGATGCATTAATAACCTCTTCCTCCCTGCTGGGCCGAGGGGCCAGCTTCCAACAGCACCCCACATTTCCTTGCATGACATGCAGTGTTTAATTATTTCTATGAGTGTTGAAGGGAAAAAGGAGGAAAGTGATGACATACTTATAATGAACCCTTGAATAAATAATACTGCTGTCTAAGCTTAAGGCATCCTGAACCGACCTTGATGGCAAGATGGCAGAATATGAAGGAAGCCGAGGAATAGAGTGAAATATGAAAATATGAAATATATAGAGGATACAATCTGGCTGGTTTTGACTGGGACTACAGTGACCTCTGCATAAAATTTAGTTTTGACATCATTGACTGGCAACATTAGATATTGATTCATTTTCAAAATAGTAAAATTGATAAAAATATAGTCCAAAAAAGACTTGAGCTGCTAAAGACTCAGTGGTTGCTATTTCTCAATTTTCTTTTTTTTAACATCAAACAAAATATAGGAAACTGAAAAGAAGTTCAATCTCTATAAGCCAGTGTCAAATCCTCCCAATATTTTGTTATTCATCTCATGTCTTCAACCATTTTTTTTAATTGTTAACCATAAATATATGTTTTCATTATGGTTGTCAACTATAATTCACCAATGCTGCTAATGGATGTTTTCATTCTGCTCAGAGAGAGAGTAGTTTTCACCTTCTACATCGAGTCCCCTTGTCTTTCCCACTCTCCCTCCACGCCCCTGTTTTTCTCTCCCTCTGTCTCTCTCTCCACCTCTATCTCTGCATGTCTGAGTTTGAGAACCCTCATCCACACACTGTTGCCATAGAGAAGACAGTGGGAAGGCAGCTTGAGTGACGGTTGATTCCACCACTGACATTTTCCTTGTGCTTTTTGGCACTTGACCTTGTGTGCCGTCGCTTCATGCAGAAAACTCAGTCAATATGTCGCCTGTAACAAACCACCTGTCTGTATGTCATGTCGACACACCACATTGAATATTCTACACTGAGGTTTTGTCAAGGAAAATGTCATTAACTGTTGGGGGGCAGCTGCACCGGTTTGTCATTGGGCCAAATTAAGTTGCTATGGGTAACTGGTTAGCCAATAGAGGTTAAGTTACGTCTCCACAGGCCAATTCTGAGTAACGTTTACAGTAATTAAAAACTGTATGTGTATTCAAGCATATGTTTCACACTGTCCTTAATTTCTTATTTTTCTCTCCTGACTTTTCCTGCACAGATTGGACAGCTAGTGTTCAAGGGCATGAAGCGTCTGAACAGGATCCAGTCCATGGTATTTGAGACGGCCTATAACACCAATGAAAACCTTCTCATCTGCGCTCCAACGGGTGCTGGCAAGACCAACATTGCCATGCTGACTGTCCTTCACGAGATCCGTCAGCACCTGCAGCCTGGTGGCGTCATCAAGAAGGACGAGTTTAAGGTTCAACACTGACTCACGCACATTGTAAAAGCAAAATAAAAATACGAGCTTGTTTATTGTTGCTACTGTGGACATACAATTTCATTAAAAAAACATATTAACTAGTCTGGCACTCAAGCAATGTAGCAGAACCGTAGTCAATATTATAGAGATTTTTATTTTGCTTACAATCTGCAATAGCAGCGTAATATTTTTTGAGCGTCTCCACCGCAGAGACACTCCACATGCATGGTGGAGATTAAGCATGCTTCTCGGCGAGATTCACACATCTCATGCAGAGATTTAGATCTGATCCACAGAGCTTTGGAAGCTGAGACGACAGGCAGTGTTCAAATGAGAGCTATGAGACGGTTTGAAGTCAAGAAGAGCTGAGTTCGCTCAATTAGGTTTCCTTTAAGATGATCTGACTGTGTGGTAATCTGTTCTGTAGAAACACTTATCAAAAATAGGCTGAAATTGCTCATCATTATGTAACAATATGGCTTTAATAATTTAATAAAAGGCCTAGTATTGATAAAAGACAATATGAATACTTCAGGAACAGTTCAGTTCTGTGTGTGTTGTACAAGTCATATAACCTTAAGTTTGAACTATTTTACAATTTCCCAAAACACAGGGCACGCTTGTGGACGGTGATGTGCCACAACACAGCCACTTTTCATACATCACCATTAAACTTTAGCCATTCAAGTGTCTGACATCATATTTCTTTGTAAATTGTGATTTGTGTCTGTTGCCAGGGAACAAATGATCCTCCCTGTGTTTGCTCATTTATCACGACATTGTCCTTCCACTCCCTGTCTCCTGTGAACTCCCATCATCAACTTCTGCCTTTCCCCACTCTACCCCTCTCTGTTAAGCCCATTAATTTCAATGTCCCTCTCTCTCTGTCTGTCTGTCTCTTCCCCCTTCTCTGTAGATAGTGTATGTGGCTCCAATGAAGGCCTTGGCAGCAGAGATGACTAATTACTTCGGTAAGCGGTTGGAGCCACTGGGCATTGCTGTTAAAGAACTCACTGGAGACATGCAACTTACCAAAGGAGAGATTTTACGAACACAGGTACACACACACACACACACACACAAACTTTAAGCACTGTCTTCTTCACAGAAAGTTCAAACTTAAAAGGGCTGCACATCCATACTTGTTCTTATGTCTAGCACCCCCAAGTGGAATATTATGTGACATTTATTTGAGATCATTTTAGCATGTAATCTATGAGGAGCATCACTTACAATTGGGCTTGTTTGTGGACACAGGTGCAATGCAGCATTGTAAATTAATCACTAAAGCTATGGATTTATCATTGAAAAAATAAGGAGTGGTTCATGAAAACAAACACATATTTTGCTCATTTAACTGAATGACCAACTTTGGAACCATCTATGCCAATAACTGAAGGATGATGCACACTTGAGGAGTAGAGCTTTTCCCTCCTTTTGGAATTTTGGCTATGAACAATGAAGACGTACTTAAGCTTAGATCTAGATCAGCTAGATCAGCTAAGCTAATGCCTCTGCTGCTGCGCAGGGGTATTACATTGAGGACAAACAAACAAACCTACGCTGTCATTCATGACAGAGACTGAATAACTGGATGTTTTTCAGAGGTTAGTCAGAAATGAAGACACCTCTTTGATAAGAGGAAAAACATCAAAGTTTCTTCAGCAAACTATTTTACTAATTCTTTCAAGAACATGAATGACCTTGACAACTGATAGACTTCACTGAAATCTTCATGACAAGATATTCAAAAACATCAACAAGCACACTTTTTAATAAGTTGATGTGCCGTACTAACAGTATTTTGTGCTTTTTTGGGAATTATTTTTGTGAATTACCATTTTCCAGATTCCTGTTAGATGCTTGTTGAAAGATATGTGTTGGCTTGGTTTGTAAAGACACAAGAGAGACGATTATTAATACAGGACTAGTACAGAACTATACGTAAAAACTGTTTTTAACCGTCTTCAATGGCTGGATGGATGCTGCATGCTGCTATGTAGATGGGTGCTTAGAATCCTGGGACCTTTAGAGAATTATTCACACTGCCCACAGTATAGCTCGCCCTCACCTGATGACAGCCGTGATTTTCTCCAGCTAAACTAAAGAATAACGATGAATGAAATAGAATCAGTTTGGTTTGTGTATTGATTGAAGTCCTGCTGTAATAGATCGAGGTAGTAGCTAAATAACACACTTCTGCCAAACAATGACATGGTTTCTCTACAGCTTCTTTTGTGCGGCAATTAAGAACACACTTTATCCTGGCCCTCATTTGCTTGAGCCTCCATTTAGATGAAGCGGTAGCTCCAATTAGGAAGTGCAGCTTCCTTTTTTCTTGAGCGAGCCATTCCCTTGTGACCAAATAGATTGATTTAAATGCAATTTCAAGAGGATGTAATGAGCTGCTTTTGTAGAAAGTGTTTAATAAGGCAGTTGCCTCCACCCAAATGCAGGTATATAAACAGATTACATTGAGTTATTTGTGCATGGTTTTAAACTTCTTGATAGTTGAGGGTTTAAAATATTCTGCTAGAGGTGCTAAGCTAACATAACACAAGCATCATGTTAATGGTGTCACACAAAACACTGATGATTTACATGATCATTATTGTAGATGTAATGGGTCATATACTGACAATGACTCCTGGTACACATTATAGACTGTAAAATTAATGTGTCCAAGTACTTGAGAAGTAAGTCATTTTCCACCCTCTGTGTCTTTTATTACAGACTTATGATTTATGTTTCTGTTTGCATTGTAATGAGCTGAGCTCTGGGTAATTGAGTATTGATGAACCATGAATCTGACACAGTATTCCAAAGGGATTTGGTTCTAAAGTGTGTCATTCAGTTAAGTGAGCAAGAAATTGTGGAGGTTTTTTTTTTTTTCAGTAACAATCCCTTAAAGGTACAGCAGTTTTTATGATGTAGTTATAAATCCCGTGAAGTACAGTGCATCCTTAATATTTGTATATATTATTGTATGTACTTACTGTTCTCCTGTTCACCTCCAGATGTTGGTGACCACTCCAGAGAAGTGGGATGTTGTCACCAGAAAGAGCGTTGGCGATGTTGCCCTCTCTCAGCAGGTGCGTCTTCTAATCTTAGATGAAGTTCATCTGCTCCATGAAGATCGAGGCCCGGTGCTGGAGAGCCTGGTGGCAAGGACCATCAGACAGGTTAGTCCAAAGTAGACTTTGTTTACATCCACCGGTTGTCGGCAAACATTGGATTGTGCTACTTTCGTTTCCCTCGTTTGTGCTGTTCTTTTGCCCTTCATTATGGTTCTCATGTGTGTCTGACTCTTCTGTGTCACGTGTGGGCATCGTAGGAAGCAGGCAGGACCCAAGTGCAGTACTGGTGCAGGTTGTTTTATTAACAAAGTCCAAATTAACAAAACAGGAAGAACTACCAGGCATGAAATTCTCTTTGTAACACGGAATACTAGGAAACACAGAACAGGAAACTCACAAACTGCTACCGAACACGAACAGCCTGACAGAACAAACTGAACAATGATCCAAGGACAGAGTGAGGGAGAGGGGTATATATACACAGGGAGCACCAGGTGACACAAGTGAAGCTAATTACCAACAGGTGAGTGTGATCAGACTGATTACTCCACAAAGCAGACAACAGGAAAAGGAAACAGACAGACATGACATTCTGAGTGACATAAGAACTCACGTACAGTATGTGAGTTCCGACTTACAGTGAAAATCAAGGTTACATCGATAGGTCGATGACTCCCTGTGATGTTAAATTGTCAAGAAAAACTGGATGGAGGAATTATTAAATTAAAAATAATTTTGGCCGATTCCTTAAGTTTCACTATTATGTAACTTTTTCTAAAGTCTGTATTCATGGGTTATTTATTTTCAATCAAAAAAGTGCAAATAGATAATGAAAAAACACACACAAAAAGGCAAATGTTTAAATTTTAATAATTACTGGCATATTATCGACCATCTTTTGTGCCTGGAGCCATGAAAAACCAATTCAAACCAAATGTATGCTGAAGAACACAGAGTAAAGAAAGGAAAGGAGATTAGAAGAGCGAGGAAGAAATACAGGGACGAGTCTGCTCCTCTGCAGCGACGGCGACCTCTCGACAGGGTTAACCACAAGGTAATTGAAAACTGGTCCATACATGCGACCGCTGTTTACTCGGTTCACAGCCCATTTATCTGCAGGTTTAGCTGATATTACTGAAGAAGGGCTGACCAGGTGTTTTGCACACACAACACCTATCGAGTTTGCCCTGCAGTGCACCACGTCTGAGCCATTTCACTGTCTTTGCCAACAGACTGCACAGGTTTTCTGTGCACAAGAAAAGAAAAGAAAATGTTGGTCTCCAAGAAAGGTAGCAGGAATTACCGATTTTACAGGTGGACAAATCTAGAAGTAATACATGATTATGGAATAATAGAATTATTAGTATTAATTATTATTAACATATTATTATATTGATTTATAATTTGTATCCTTCTTTATTCAATTGTTTTTTAGAATATAGAATATTATCTGTGCAAAGGAATACTCTACATTTTTCCATTGATTGGACATCTGTGGAAAAAACTCTTCTTCTTCTACTTAAATTATTTGTGGTTTTTCTAACTTCAACACAGCGCCCACCCCATTACTACTGGTAGCTGCATGCAACTGCAGTTACAAGTAAAAGATTCCAAGCAGGAAACTTTTGATGGAATTTCCATTTTGTAAACACCGATCCCTAAGTTTGTGGCTGCATAAAAAATGGCGGTGGAATTCTTTATAATCCTGATACTGTTAAAAATCTAACATCTATAATACAACTGTGTTGTTGTAATAACTAGTGTTGCTGTAATTTCACAGGGAACCTCACAGCACCGTAGATGCATTAAAGTACCCCTTGTTTCTTGGGGTAACACTGTGACTTCCTGTCTGTGAACATGCTCCTCTGCTGCCACGCTGTGCCTCTCCAACAGTGCTGGTGTGACTGTGAAGTACAGGCCATGTAGGATTGGTTAGGTCTTATCTAGATGCTATGGTTTGACAGGTACTGCATCACATTAAAGGCCTTACCAATCTTCTCTGTCACAAACCCTCCCGCGAACCTCACCACTGAGCACCCATTCAATAATTTTCTTCAAGTTTCAAAGACAGGCTAAAGGCACCACAGTGCACAAAAGGGGACATTTTATTTATCTCTAAAGTCAAGGACATAATCCCTCAGGTTTACTGCTGGCATTGACACTGTGTGGTTGATAATGAAATGATGTGGTCGAGAACTCAACACCTCACATTTTCAACATCCTGTCATCACTGTTTAAGGTCACTGATACTACATTTAAACTTCTCATTGTCCTAAGTATGTTTCACTTTCCAAATATTGTTTTTTCATCTATTGTTTTAATGTAAATTAACTTATCATTTGGGAACTAAAAGAAGTGGAACCGCCTGTTGTGTATTACTGATTTGAGCTACAATTACTTTTCTGTCTCGTCCTCTCATTCCTCACTGCCTCTGCTGTTGTCTGATGATTTAGGTGGAGTCCACCCAGAGTATGATCAGGATCCTTGGACTGTCGGCCACACTGCCCAACTACCTGGATGTGGCCTCCTTCCTTCACGTCAACCCCTACATCGGCCTTTTCTTCTTCGACAATCGTTTCAGACCAGTGCCTCTGGGACAGACCTTCGTTGGCATTAAATCCACAAACAAGGTAAATAAAGCAGTATGGTTTAAAGCAGTGTTTCCCCTAATGGGTGCAAAAGTGTAGTAGGAAGCATTGAGAAATTAAATAAATTAAAATAATTTTCAAGCAACAGCCCTGAATGAGTCATTTTGGGGGGGGGTTCCATTAGTCCTACAAGGTCTGTGGAAAACATTTCAAATTATGTTATGTAATCTTGAGAGTGGGCAAAAAACATGGGACTCTAAAAACCAAAAATAATTTTTGATTAAAATGTTTAATTAAAACGTGGACTTCTTTGTGTTTTATATAACGTGGAATATTGTTCTGAAAATAAAAAAGAACGATTGAATAGAACACAAAAGAACCTCAACCATGACCAAGAAAAAGTTAATTGAAACGTGTTGTTTTAGCCTCACTTTAAATCAACGGTCGCAGATGGTCGTTACTCTAATCAAACATAAATGGATGTTTGGAAACTGTTAACAAAGCAGATTTAAATAAGTAAAGAGTAAAACACTCTGAATTTTTTTTTCCTCTTATTTATTTATTTATTTTTTTGTTGTTGTTGTTGTCTTTTTAAAGATCCAACAGATTCACGACATGGAGGAGGTTTGTTACAACAACGTTCTGGAGCAGGTCAAAGCTGGTCACCAGGTAAACGCCAACACAAGAAAACAAAGATCTAAACATCTTTATTAAGCCTGTGTGGTGGTTTATGGTATTGATATTTATCTTACAAATACCTATAAATTACTGGAGTTAAATCTTTGTATGAGAAGAACCTGAGTCAGTGTGTGTAGTGGGTGGTAACGTCCAGTCCCATTTCCCTCCAACACATTTTCTTCTGAACTTTTTCATGAATAGAAACTCCTGCAGTAAATATGTTTTTTTTTGTGAACTCTGGAATGAACACCTGCTATCTACAGTCTCTGAAGGCCTTATCTCTCCCCAGTGCTACTTTCCACTTCCTTTCTCCATCCATCCAACACCACCACCACCTTCCACTCAGTCTACTTCCGCTCCCCTACCTGAGAAAGGCCTACTGGGAACAGGAGGGTTGTGAATGCAGACTTAATCATTTAGCTCCCATCTGCTACAGGGGTTGAGCTCCCTATTGATCACGGCTGTTATCCTGTCTGCATCATTTTATTGCTGGTGTACACACACACACCAACATGCACCTTGTGCTCTCCCATAGAGCTCTACTAAATATGCATCGTTCTTCAACCCCCAAGAACATGAAAATCTACCTAAATTTTCTGCATCGCGCTCATCATTTGTTTTCCTTTTATATTTTCTTGAAAAGACCCAAAGGTCAAGTCTGGCTCACGGGCCACACTCAAAATATTAACTTGTCAAAAAGTGGCCGTGACATATATTAATTTCATCAGGGAGGATCTGATGGATGAAATTTCCTTTCCTGTTGCCCTCGTGGCGGGAAGCACGCTGCCAGAAAGAAGTTTAATAAGCTGAGAAGCCGGCGGTTACTGCCAACAATGATTCCACACCGCTCAGTAGTGCTGATAAAACACCTTCAATAAATAACGTTTGCTGCAGTGGTCTCCTTAGACCCACACTGTTTGGAGTGTATACACAGCTGGCTGCTGTGCTGTGTGTGTGTGTGTGTCTTTGTGTGTGTGTGTTCGTCTTACAGCATTGTTTGTTCTAATAATACTGTCTATTTAAAACTCTAACGGCTGCTGAATTACTTTAAAATGAATGAGAACATACTGTTACAGGTTCATACAACTGGTCTCGTAAAATACTGTCGTTCAATGACAAAGATCAATTGGTTGTAATAATTAGTTAGGACCAATTAATACTTTTTATGTTTTCTTTTTCAAGGAAGCGCTTTTTTTTTATTCTCATGAATTAATATATTTTTTCTCGTAATGTTACAATTGTTTCCTCATAAGTTAAGCGTTACAACAACTTTTTTTTCTAATTGTATTTTTTTTATTCTCTATGTGGCCCTAATGCTCCATTATACATTTTAAGGGACACACCAGCATGTAGACCAGAGGAGCCGTGCCACTGACATTCAGATTAAAAATGACTCGTGTTCTCCATTGATTTACAACAGACTGTATCTCACAGTTAGTTTATTCAGAAAATGGAATAAAAAAAAAATGGTCAAGGAAAGCAAAGTGGTTGGTGTGATGTCTTAGCTCGTGTAGTCATTTCAGATCGATAACATTTATCTGAAATGACTCAAATTACAGCAGATAAAGTAAATACTGGCCAATTACACTGATTGAACTGCTTAATTTACCATTGATTTTTGTGTGTGATGTGATGTGTCCTTGTTTATGTGTGTGTGTGTGTCGTAGGTAATGGTGTTTGTCCATGCCCGTAACGCTACAGTGAGGACGGCGATGAGCCTGATAGAGATGGCTAAGAATTTTGGAGACATTTCCTTCTTTCAGCCGAACCAGGGTCCAGAATATGGCCAGTGTGAGAAACAGGTAAGGCCTTATGGTTTTTACACATAGTGGTCATCCTTCTTTTACCATTTACTACATGGTTGTAGTCACTGAATAGACCGAACCAAAATGAAGTCGTCCATGTGAATTCTAAGTCATAGCTCACCTTCACTGTTGCTCTGCACAGCACAGTTTTTGGACTTTTAACTTCACAGGTCTACAGTGATAGGAGTGAGTGTGTGTCTGTGTGTAATTGATGGTCTCAGTGCTGAGAGAGTACACAGAAGAGGGAGCTGTACTCTCCCCCAGAGGAGAGTCAGTCAGACTCCTATTCCCATACTTAAATCTCCAGCAACTGAAGGCAGAATGATAAATTTAGTAACCTTTTCTTTGCCTCTCTGGGGCTTAGCCAGGATTGATGCCTCTCTAATCTGCCCTCTATTTAAATGGGTTGTGTGTACAAATCAGATCACTTTTCATGCATTAAAAAAAACTGACATTACATATGGGGTTGAAACATATGTGGAGGACTCAGTGGACACAGTTACTTAAATTTGTGCGGCTCGGACCCTCTGTGCAGTATATCTGTAGTAATTAATCTGGCTGTGTATGCAGTAAAAGTACATTAATTCACTCCTAGATCTTCTGCCTGTGTTCCAACATAATGAGTATTATCCGCTCCATTAGTCCATCTTTGAACGTTTTCTCGCTGTGGCCCGCTCTTTCTAGAGAGGGCCATTGGGTTGATTCCACTCTAAGCCCACACAGAGATAATGCACAGCTTATTTGCACTCTGGAAATTGCCCCCACATTAATATTTATGGGTGTTTTTTAATCTTCAATATGCATATGCAGTAAAATAAAGCGCCCCTAAGGTCACTGCTATAATTTAGCATTTATTTATCCAGCTTTAAAAGTCAGGAGTGATTCCTCTGTATAAAGTCCCTCCCTAATGTTTTTTAATTGGTTTTATCGGCAGGGCTGGAGAGGCTGTCAGTCAAGCTTAGAAATCTTAATGCAGTCACCTGAATTAATTCTTGGTAAATAGTGCTATTGGTGCAGGTGATTTTTTTAATGCGAAAAAAACAATGATATCACTTGAAATGAACTAAACTAAAGATGACAAATTGGCTGGTCACTGTTTTGTTATGAAACCTTTCTTAGTTTAAGGTACTTTCAGGTAAGAGTGAGCAACATACTGTTGAGACACTGGTCTGTGGGTGCATGGATGGAAAATTGTAACAGACAAAAAAAGTCTGTATATTGTTTACCTAAAGGCTACATCCTTTCATGATGACATTTTATCCAGAGACTAAGCTGAGTCAGACTCCTTTTAGGCCATGGGTCACCAACTATGCTTGTTGGAGGGACCAGAATTTTTCTCAAAAGACTTTTTTTTAAAGCGTTTGATGAGTGGACACACTTCATTGTTTTGTATGTATGAAAACAGATGGTGTGCTTTGTATCTGTTTTCACCAGGACAAAAACATATTTCTGATTGTGAACACTGTAAAAATTTGAATAAAAAAAGGTACAAAACAACCGTAACTTTAGATAAGAACCACAATATAATGGAATGTATGCTGCGAAAGTTGGGAGTAAATGTTAAAAAATAAATAAAAAAATAACCACAGATATAAAGCACTCTAAATATTGCCTTGACCTGTTCACACAAAGCCTCCTCTGGAGAACACTATTCAAAAACCCATTTGACTTTCATTTGCTCCAGCTCTAACCGTCCAGCCTCCACTTTCCTTCCCCCTCGTTCCTTCTCTTCACCTTTGCTCTTCTTCACCTTTCTCTACCTGGCATTTTTTAATATTGGTTTTTAAACGATAAGGCACAAAGCTGGTGGTAGTGGTGAAGGGTTAAGGTAACTTTACTGTGGAGAATAAGAGACACCTTGTGGTCCCAGGAGGTCATTACACGGTTCGGATGAAAGCTCTGTCACGAGTTATTGACAGCCGCAGTGGTTGGAAGACGAGATGAGAACACTGTCTCTTCACCAAACTTTCATTTCTCTTGGTAGATTTAAAAAAAAAACAAAACTTAAATCTTTTCAAGTCTTCGCTCTTCAGATGTGCATCTTTCATGTCACGATGGTTGACAAGCCGCACTGACACAGACCCACTGACGCCTGAAAGCGAGTGTGAAGCCCCCCGGGACTCTGCAGCATCATCAGAATGGGCTCATTAATGTCACTTTGCTTTATTTTGCAGCTATTTTTGCAATTCTTGTCCAGTGCTGGTCTCCCTTTTATTGTCTTGGATTTTTTTGACAGCGTGTCAAACGTGCCAACCCAGCTTTCTACTGATCACTAATCAACTACAGTGAGCTGCAGCACAAAGACTGGTGGAGTAGAGACAGACAGCATGGAGTGACAAACACACATCTTTAAAAATAGTCCTTTCAAATAAAAAGACAGCACAGAATACAGTTTCTTTTTCTTCTCATTCTGACTATTGGCAGCACTAAGCAAGTTTTCCATGTTTAATTGCTTCCTCATCTGTATTAAAACAGCTGATGGGGAAGAAGTTGTTTTTCTCTGCCACCCACTACGCTCATGCTTGCAGCATATGCAAATATGCTTTTTCTTTTCAAACATGACAAACAAAACATCAGCACTGGTGACTTGGAAAGTCCCTGAACTTACAGCCTCCAGACTAAAATCACCCACCCAAAATATTTAGACTATTTTCAGTCGTCTCAGTGACAGGTGAAATATCACATTAATACACGATAAAAGCACAGAGCCGCAAAAAAAGCAGCTTGATTCTCAAGTGACACACTGTTTTGAGATGTTTTGACAATTATTTCAGTTCTTTTTAAGTAACATGACAATAGAAGGAAAATAATTCACTTCATTAAAAGCAACAGAGATCGGTAACATAAATAGATGATACGGAAATATGAAAATCTGGGAGTCAGACAGACACAGTCTTTTACAGAAACAGACACCAACGTCTCTGGAGCCTCATATGTATAATAACAAATACAATCATTATACATACTTCTTCATCCTTAGGATACATGAAGTGCATGTTTATTTTTTTGTAAAAATAATTCAATCTAAAAATAATGACTTTATCAAACATCTCTTGGACGGAGCTGGACAGAAAGGGATGTTAAAGAGAAAGAAGTGGTTTGTGATATGAAAGTGGATCACAGTGGGTGTGAGTGGAAACTCATCCTCCCACTCTCTCCTGCCTTTTTGCTATCAGCAACCAGCCTCTTTGAACACTATGACTATCAAGGGCCACTAAATGAACAACAATTAGCCACCTCGTCTCGCTTTCACAAAGCAAATGATGAGAGCTCATAAGAGTCGTTGTTGGGGGTGTTTTTAAGATACAGGAGTGGCCGATCATTGGCCACAATTCATCACAGATCATGTTATTATTCCCCATAAAGTTGGCCATTTCTGCCTCTCAAATTTGAAACTTTAAGCTTTAGTGATCCTTGTAGATTTATAGAGATCCAAACCCTTCATTTTAGGAGGGAATTGGATATTTATGGTGTGCACTTAATGAGGAAATTTAAGTTGGAAATTAAAACACTTCCCTAAATTGTTAAAATGTAACTTTAACTCTCTTATCCATCACTTAATTGAGTCTGAAAACTATTATTTATTTACCTCAAAAATTGGTCTGACAGGCAGAAAAATTAAATCCACTTAAATGTGATTTATATGTCATTTGGTGGTGTGCCGTGGTGATTTTCTTATGCAAAATGTGTGCTGTGGATCAACAAATGTTGGGAGACACTGCATTAGACATTTGCTGGTGGTGATTTTCTCTCAGTATCCACTGCTTTGATGGACTGTAAGTAAGGTTGGCAGCGTGTTGTCTGAGGACAGAGGGCGCTCCACAGCAGGAGCAGTGAGCAGCAGGGACTAATGGGGCCTGATCAGGAGCTTAGGTCAGTGCCATCTCAGATACAGCCAAGGCACAGCAGCCATCAGCGCTAGCTCACCTTAGATTAGAAGAGGGACGCATGGCTGTAACACCCAGTGAAACCTTAAAGAAGAGTTTTCTATTATCTACCATTCCCTGCTCTCAGTAGCCCAGTACTACAACCTGGACACGCGGTACATACTGCAATGATTTTATAAACATATATACCGTCAGACCACACACCCAGTTTACTTTTCAATCTGTTGTGCCACGTTTTAGGATGTCATCTGAATAATCACTGCTGTATACATAAACGGATATGTATTTACGTGCATGTGTGTACATACATACATGTACACGTACATCTATCCATATATGTAGTATATATATACATAAATAAAATACATATATGTGTATATTTACTGTATATACCTATGGGGTGTTAACTGGTTAAAATTTCTAATCGGACGAACCACATGGTAGCTGTGGATGTATCATGATTAATCAACCTAAATTTGGTGAATAGTACTTTTTTGCGATAAATTGCTGGAACAGAATGAACTGGAGCTGGAACTGTAGAAGTACCACACACAAAATATGTTTGTTTGTGTGTTCAATGGTGCAGGGTATCTGTATCATCTATCTGTCCCATTTGTTGAGTGGAGAGCTACAGCATAATATAGAAAAGGGTTCATTTTGGTTAGAAAACTTCAATATTTCAGGTCTGTTACCTCAGCTCTGCCTGGCTTGCTTGAATAAAGAACCAAATCATGAGAGATTGTGTCAACATTGTGATATTCTTTGTAAATGCTGCCATAGACCTCCTGATAATGACAAACATTGCTGTGTTATGTGAGCATTTTGGAGGCCGTGTCTAGACGTCTCTAATGTCCTCGACTTTGGTCATTTTACAAAAATGTATGTAAATACAAAAACTCCTATAACGACTGGTATAACGACTCATCACCTACCATGATCGCATGAAAATAAGAACTCCTCTATGACAGAGGACAATTGGCCTTAGCATAAATTATTTCCATCAGTAGCGTGGCCGGGCCACAGAGGAAGGTTAAGTAGCTTAGAGTCGAGGTGGTGGAGTGAAAAGAGTCGGCTGAGGTGGTTCTAATGTATCTGATTAGGATTCCTCCTGAGCACCTTTCATTAGACGATCTTATTGGCATGTCTAAGACTGCCGTGGACTCAGAACACACTGAGGAGATTATTCAGCTCATCTGGACTGGCACTGTCTCAACATCTTACCTAACGTTGTTGGATAAGCTTAACTGTCCAACAGAACTGTAACTACAAAGTAACCTGTTCAGTAAAAATATTTTATAGTTATTAGGAGAGGGGAGTTACAACGTATAGCCGTTTGTTTAACATTTAAAAATCTATTTTAGGGTTTTTGCAATTTGAAATATTAACATTGATTTCTTTTAGAAAAACAAACACCAAATGGTTTTATCATTAACCTTATACACATACCTTAGATATGCTTGTTTTATCCCAGACATTGGTCAGGTCTTCTACTGAGTCAGGACTTCCTCTTCCTCCTCTTCATCCAAATTCCCAGACAGGCAGCAGTAATGGCTTTCCTCTTTTCATGGAAGAGAAAGCTGCCGGGCTCTGACCTCTATTTAGATGCCCAGAGAGAGAGATAAAGCTCCGTGATGATGTCTATCCTGAAGCTGGGCGAGGTCCTCACCCTGCTGTCAGTCACCGACAAGTATCTCAATCTGACTGACAGTGTGTTTGTGTGTGGTCTCTAAACAGCAGTTACTACTGAAAGATCACAGCAGGCAGTGTATTAGAATTGATTTTAAGAAGCCTTGTAATGCGTTTTACAATGCATTTTTTGAACCTGCAGGCATAATTTTTATTTTATTTTAAGTTGGCTCTTCTTGACCTTCTGTTTGTCAGATCCAGCGCTCCAGAAACAAGCAGATGAAGGAGATGTTTCCAGAAGGCTTTGGGATTCATCATGCTGGTATGCTGCGGTCTGACCGCAATCTGATGGAGTCCATGTTTTCTAAAGGCCTCCTGAAGGTGCTGGTCTGTACAGCCACTCTTGCCTGGGGAGTGAATCTTCCAGCACACGCGGTCATCATTAAGGTCCAAACTCCTTATATTTTCCAGTTTGTTCTGTTGTGTATTTTTCATATTCCTGTCCCGGTAAAGTGATCAAAAAGTGTAGTTAAAATGTAGTCAGTCAAAAATCCTAGCACGGAGTAGCTTTTTAAGCATATTGTTATCATATTGTCACGTGGGGGCATCGTAGGAAGCAGGCAGGACCCAAGTGCAGTACTGGTGCAGGTTGTTTTATTAACAAAGTCCAAATTAACAAAACAGGAAGAACTACCAGGCATGAAATTCTCTTTGTAACACGGAATACTAGGAAACACAGAACAGGAAACTCACAAACTGCTACCGAACACGAACAGCCTGACAGAACAAACTGAACAATGATCCAAGGACAGAGTGAGGGAGAGGGGTATATATACACAGGGAGCACCAGGTGACACAAGTGAAGCTAATTACCAACAGGTGAGTGTGATCAGACTGATTACTCCACAAAGCAGACAACAGGAAAAGGAAACAGACAGACATGACATTCTGAGTGACATAAGAACTCACGTACAGTATGTGAGTTCCGACTTACAGTGAAAATCAAGGTTACATCGATAGGTCGATGACTCCCTGTGATGTTAAATTGTCAAGAAAAACTGGATGGAGGAATTATTAAATTAAAAATAATTTTGGCCGATTCCTTAAGTTTCACTATTATGTAACTTTTTCTAAAGTCTGTATTCATGGGTTATTTATTTTCAATCAAAAAATATATGTATATAGTTATTATTCATAACCTGTTTTGATTTTTGTGTGTGTTGATAACAGGGCACTCAAATCTATGATGCTAAACGTGGTGCTCTGGTGGATCTCGGTATATTGGACGTCATGCAGATTTTTGGACGTGCTGGTCGTCCACAGTTTGATAAGTGTGGCGAGGGCACCATCATAACCACACATGACAAGCTCAGTCACTACTTGACACTATTGACCCAACGAAATCCCATTGAGAGTCAGTTTTTGGACAGTCTGGCTGACAATCTCAATGCTGAGGTCAGTTTCTGATAATTCTTTTCGAGTGAATTATTAAAAATTACAGGATGATTTGTGTGTCTTGGCTATTTAGAAAGAGCAGAAAGAAATTTAAAAGAGTCATTTAAGTGGCTTGTGTCGCTGCTGCGTTTCAAACAATGTCCACTAGATGGAAGCAGAGACCAGTTTCCGTTTTGACTAACGGGGTCTCCTCCCATTTTCACCTCATCTCCAGGTTGCCTTGGGCACAGTGACCAACGTAGAGGAAGCAGTGAAGTGGCTGAGTTACACATATTTCTATGTGCGCATGAGGGCCAACCCACTGGCGTATGGCATCAACCACAGAGCCTATCAGGTGATTGTCACATGGTCTCCACTATTCTTCAAGAATGAATCCTGACACTTCAGTTTGATTATACATCAATTATTGATTCATTATTTCAGATGGACCCCTCCCTGGAGCTGTACCGGAGGGAGCTGGTGGTGGAGGCTGGCAGGAAGTTGGACAAGGCCAGGATGATTCGCTTTGAGGAGCGCACTGGATACTTTGCCTCCACCGATCTGGGCAGAACTGCCAGTCATTTTTACATCAAGTACAACACCATAGAGGTGCAAACACAGAGCACAAAATATTTATAAAATCTTCAACATGAAATATAGATATATTTCAACTCATACGTCAACTCAAAAACTTGACATAGCTTAGAGGTAAGAAGACACAGTCCTTGGTAGAGTCATCATCTAGCAGTTTAACTGGTAAAATGTTGGACATCAAGGCTCAGTCTTAAAGGAGCCAGTGGTTTCCATGATTGTTATTCTATGGCCGTCATGGTTTACGAACACTTTCTTTTTTCAGTTTTACCTCAGTGGTTCAGTGTTGGTTTATTCTATTTGTCTACTCTTCATTTCTCCAGACATTCAATGAACTTTTCAACTCCCAGCGAACAGAAGCTGACATCCTCAACATTGTGTCCAAAGCTGAGGAGTTTGAGCAGTTGAAGGTGAGGGGGTCATGGCTTGAATATAAAAGTGACACTTTACATCCACAATGTTGGAATTTCTAATCAATCACCACTTATAGGCTGGCCCATCGTTCCAATATAAACTTTTATCGCAGTAACAGATTTGTATGAGCTATTTTAATCATTTTGATGTTTTATGCTTTTAGATTCGTGACGAGGAGTCAGAAGAGCTGGAGCAGTTACAGTCCGACTACTGCCAGTTGATCGCTGCAGGTGGAGTGGAGAACAGCTACGGCAAAGTCAACATCCTGCTGCAGACGTACATTGGCCGCGGCGAGGTGGACAGTTTCTCACTCATATCAGACCTTTCGTATGTGGCACAGGTGAGAAATTGAAATTGAAATTGTATACCCAATTGTAATAAATTGTAATAAATTGTAATAAATTAAATTAGCAGAATTGTTCTTAGAATAGCTAAAGCCTTATCTGGTTTCTATATCATCACCTAAGTCAGTGTCATTGCATGTTGTAAACGTCCACAACCCTATTAGAGGTTCAAATAACTGCCTGATGTCTCTAAGATAAAATGGTGTTAAAGAGGATGAGAAGCAGTGAACGGGACATCCTTAAACTTCAACATCAGTCAGCCAGTGGTCTCTAGAGGACAGATTTTGTAATGAAGATGTCTCTACTGCCATTCCTCTCTGCTTCACAACCCTGACTAATGAGGAGCAAGAAGCTCAGAAGTTTGAGATATTGATTCTGTAGTGAAAAGTGCTGACACTAGGGCTCCCATGTCTCCTGGCTGTGCATTTATAGCATCAAAAAGTACAACATCATCGAGAAGTAAAGTGTGACAAAGACAAAATGTTTGTCTTCATAGAGTCAGACTCTCCTCTCCTGCTTCCTGCCAGGTCTGTCAGTCTTACTCCTCTGTCATCACGTCTTAAATTTAGCATTGTTTCCAATAAGACAGATCAGACCTTCACCAAAAGATCAGATCACATCAGCACCTGACCAAATTAATCATAGTCGGCCCAGATTTAAGCAGTCTATCAGCAGAAGAACACAGTAGTCTGACCTTTCCTCCAGGACTGGTAGGAGTGATCCATCACTGCACAGCTGCGGTCGGGCTGGACACCTCACACTGGCCAGAGCTTCTCCTGATCTTATTCAACTGACACACAAACTAATAACGAACACCCGTGACTTCTGGAGCAGTACAGTGAAGTTGCATCGACAGGTTGGTGCTGTGTCTTAAAGTAAAACAGAATGCAACTATCTTTTTTCCCCTTGTTTGTCTCAGAATGCTGCTCGAATTGTCAGGGCGTTGTTTGAGATCGCTCTGAGGAAGCGATGGCCGGCCATGACCTACCGACTCCTCACTCTCTGCAAAGTGATTGACAAGCGTTTGTGGGGCTTCGCCCACCCTCTGCGCCAGTTCCCCAACCTGAGTCACCATGTGCTGAATCGCCTGGAGGAGAAGAAGCTCACGGTGGACAAACTGAAGGACATGAGAAAGGATGAAATCGGTGAACAATCTAAATAGAACTATTGGTCCAATTGGGTCAATTATCAATATAAGAATGTCTCACTTAAATATGATCAAGATTTCAGACCAAGGCACAAGTCACTTTTTACATATTAAACACAGGCACTTTAATGCATATTATTAATATTTAATACATATTTCAGACTTTCTGTCACTGAAACATGTTGGGGTTCTATTGACTTGATGTAAAATAATTTGTAATTGTCTTCTTTTAAGAACCAGTCAATTTTTCATACTAGTTTCATTTTCTTCTAGGTCATATGTTGCACCACGTCAACGTCGGCCTGACCGTCAAACAGTGTGTCCATCAGATCCCATCAATCTCGATGGAGGCCAGCATCCAGCCAATCACACGCACAGTTTTGCGTATCCGTCTCACTGTGACACCAGAATTCCGCTGGAATGATCAGGTGAATATGTGTGTTATTAGTAAAACATGCTTTAAACTGAGGAGCGACGTGGTTCACTACAGTTAGGCTCTGATCTGATCCCTGAAAGTAGACCTATTGGCTGGTTTAATAATACAGTATATCCAATTAGGAGTCAGAACTATGACTTGGAATATACGAGATGTCCTGCACCATGACACATCAGTTAGTGGTTATTCATGTTTTTGTCATATTTAACCTAAAGTCTATATCGGGGGTGTTCACATTTTTGGCGCAGAAGCTACCATTTAAATGACCAGGCTAAGGTGATCCACCTATATTGAACATTTTAGATATATATTTACTGATATAAACATACTGAATATATTTTATATTTACACTATATATTTGGGTACTGATTAAATGAATGTAGCTGCATGACATAGCTCTAAGGAGAGTTCCATTTCCTGTGTTTCAGGTCCATGGTTCAGTGTCAGAGCCCTGGTGGTTATGGGTGGAAGACCCTATCAATGATCACATCTACCACTCTGAGTACATCCTGCTGCAGAAGAAACAGGTTCGACCCAGACAGTCAGACTGATGTCTTCAACCCCACAGTGAACAGACAGTTTGCATCTCTTTTCTTTCCAGGTGGTGTCAGGAGAGCCTCAGTACATTGTGTTCACCATCCCCATCTTTGAACCGCTGCCTTCTCAGTACTACATCAAGGCAGTGTCTGATCGCTGGATTGGTGCTGAATCTGTTTGCATCATTAACTTCCAGAACCTCATCTTACCTGACAGACACCCTCCACACACTGGTACACACACCCAATACACACTGGTACACACACATAACACATACTGGTACACACACCCAGAATATACTGGTAAATACACCCAGAACCATGTGTTTATATGTTGTATGTGTATGTATACTGTATATATATATGTATGGTTTTATTGGTATATGCTGGATAAGTATAAAAAAATGTAAGCATCTGTACCACCTACAGGACCTACCCCCCTGTCTACTGCTGTCTTGTACTGTAAAGTAACCTTTATGTACAGTAAAGATTAAATGTTTCCTTATTTAGAGCTGCTGGACCTCCAGCCTCTGCCAATCACAGCTCTGGGAAACCAACACTATGAGAGTCTCTACAAGTTCACTCACTACAATCCCATCCAGACTCAGATCTTCCACACTCTCTACCACACCGACACAAACGTCCTGCTGGGGGCGCCCACAGGATCTGGAAAAACCATAGCAGCAGAGATGGCAATGTTCAGAGTCTTCAACAAATATCCAACATCTAAGGTTGGACTGTCTACGATTTTAGTCAAATACTCATATTTCATATTTGCCACATAAAAGTCTGTCAAGTGGATATAATATAAGTGAAACTCTGGAATTTTCTTACTTTTGATGTCAGGTGGTCTACATTGCCCCTCTGAAAGCTCTTGTCAGAGAAAGGATTGAAGACTGGAAGATCAGAATAGAAGAAAATCTTGGAAAGAAGTAAATATAGAACCAGTTCTTCTCAATCTTTCCCAAAACCATTTCCAATTTCAATGAAATCTGCAATTTCTTTCTTTCAAACTGTAGTTATAGAGATAAAACATAAAATAATGTGTTGAAGTTGATTTTACTCTTTTGCACGTATTCCTCTACAGAGTGGTGGAACTAACGGGTGACGTGACACCTGACATGCGAGCCATCGCTCAGGCCGACCTCATCGTCACCACACCCGAGAAATGGGACGGAGTGAGCAGAAGCTGGCAGAACCGCAGCTATGTTCAGAAAGTCGCCATTCTCATTATTGACGAGATCCATCTGTTAGGTACCAGTCTACAACACAGAAAGAAAAAAATAAAAATAAAATAATATATATATATATATATATATATATATATATATATATATATATATATATATATATATATATATATATATATATATATATATATATATATATATATATATATATATATATATATATATATATATATATATATATATATATATATATATATATATATATATATATATATATATATATATATATATATATATATATATATATATATATATATATATATATATATATATATATATATATATATATATATATATATATATATATATATATATATATATATATATATATATATATATATATATATATATATATATATATATATATATATATATATATATATATATATATATATATATATATATATATATATATATATATATATATATATATATATATATATATATATATATATATATATATATATATATATATATATATATATATATATATATATATATATATATATATATATATATATATATATATATATATATATATATATATATATATATATATATATATATATATATATATATATATATATATATATATATATATATATATATATATATATATATATATATATATATATATATATATATATATATATATATATATATATATATATATATATATATATATATATATATATATATATATATATATATATATATATATATATATATATATATATATATATATATATATATATATATATATATATATATATATATATATTGCTGTGTCTGTATCCAGGTGAGGACAGAGGTCCTGTGTTGGAGGTCATTGTGTCAAGGACCAACTTCATCTCCTCTCACACGACGAGGACTGTGCGAGTGGTTGGTTTGTCCACAGCTCTGGCCAACGCTCGGGACCTGGCCGACTGGTTGGGAATTAAACAGGTAAAGAAATATATGCACAACAATATATTTAATTTATTTTAAAGCAGACATTTTTTTACTATATATTGTGGATTTTAAATATAAAATATTAACTCCTTGGCCTGAGTAATACTCAAACTGGCTTAGTACCAAATAAAGTGTTGTGTTTTAATAGCCATTAGTTTTGTGTTAACTGGCTTTTATAACATGTGTTTTAATAGCCATTAGTTTTGTGTTTTTTCTTCAAACATAACTGGCTCTTTGCACAATACAGAGATCACCCACATGTCCAGTTTGGTTAAATCCATCAAATGTTAGAATTTAAAACATTAATTTGAAAATAATTACACACCAGTAGAGTCCTCTCAGATGCTGCATCAAGAGTCACTTGGCCTTACAGATTAGTTTTTACACTTTCAGCAGAGCTGCCTCTGAGCCTTAGCTGCTCACTTGGTAGAGGGTCAATTCTATTTCCCAGGTTTTGACATGGCAGTGGGTCTGTACTGTAGCAGTCCTCAACAAACCAGCGAACATACACCACGTAGAGTCTATTGTGTTTTCACACAGAGTAAAAGCAGTGGCCACAATAAAGGTTACAGCAACCCCGTGCTGATCTGAGGCTCGGTGACGGACAGTTCACGTTACAACCAGATGGTTCCTGGTTTCTCCATCTGCTCCCATTAAATCTGCTTTTTTACTCTTTGTCTGGCCTTCTTCAACCCTTCTCCTCATCTGGGTGAACAGGTGGGTTTGTTTAACTTCCGTCCGTCTGTTCGCCCCGTACCACTGGAAGTTCACATCCATGGTTTCCCAGGACAACACTACTGCCCCCGCATGGCCAGCATGAACAAGCCCACCTTCCAAGGTGACCACAATCTGTAACTTGTACTCTGTGCTCTGCTTTTTTAGGCTTCTCCAAATTGAATTCTTTACTGACCCTTTATGTTTTAACGTAATTTTACAGCAATACGCAGCCATTCTCCTGCCAAACCGGTGCTGATTTTTGTATCATCTCGTCGACAAACTCGACTGACTGCCCTGGATCTCATCGCATACCTGGCCACAGAGGACAACCCTAAACAGTGGCTGCACCAGGATGAGAGAGAGGTAAACTAATGTTAAAATCCCAGGTAGGGTATCCCAAGATCACCAGGAGTCTTTTTGTCCATTTACTGAAAGCTGTATCGCTGTCGATCCAAGCCTTACTACCAGTACTACCACCTTCTTATGCCATAAATCTACATTCAGGATGCTCTATACACTGGGATATGTACTGAGTGTTCGTCCTGCTGCTTCTCAGCACATGTCCATGCAGCTGTTCTGCTCCCTGCTGTTTGACTGACAGGTTTCTGATGATGCCTGTTAAACAGGACACATCTTGCCCATTTTTGCAGTAAATTACATGTCAGACTAAACCACTGTTATCTCTCCTCTGTAGATAGAGGCCATTATTGCTACAGTTAGGGATTCTAACCTGAAGCTAACGCTGGCCTTTGGCATTGGGATGCATCACGCTGGTCTGCACGAGAGAGACAGAAAGACCGTGGAGGAGCTGTTTGTAAACTGTAAGATCCAGGTAGGTCTGGTCCACCACTGCTGCACAGAGCACATAACTACAAGACTCATCTGTCATATTTTAAAGCTTATGCTCATGGTGGGGAAAACATTAAACTATCGGTTTACTGTATTTATCATGTGATCAATTTATGGGCTATAGCTAAAAATGAACAAAGATGTAATATATATATATATGTATATCTATGTATATGTGTGCGTATCTAAATATATTTATATATTTGTGTTCGAGGATTGACATGCATCATTTGTCCATCTGAGTGCATATTGCAGAATCTTCTAACTCTGAGGAGTTGAAAGATGGCATAAATATATCAAAATTGATCAAAAGCACATATATCCATCCCACTGAGAAATGCACTACGTATATATGACTTAAAAACATAGACATCACATGTAATGTTTTTTCTAGGTTTTGATTGCCACCAGCACTCTGGCCTGGGGTGTGAATTTCCCTGCTCACCTGGTGGTTGTAAAAGGAACTGAATACTATGACGGTAAATCCAGACGCTATGTGGACTACCCCATCACAGGTATACACTTTATTGTTTACAGAGCAACTGTAGAATATTAAATATGGAAATTATTTTGTAATTGTATAGCCCACATTTACAAAACACATTTTGCCCTGATGGACTTCATAGTTTTCACATGAAAAACAACCCCCACTTGCCCAAAAGAATTGCAGGAATAGATCCATCTGAGTTATGTGTTTTTTTATACAAGAAAAAATAACAAAAAAAGTATTCCTGTGTAGGTTTAGTTATGATATTTCTTGACAAATACCTCCCCTTTAAGAACTATTTCACCTTTTGTGTAGATGTGCTGCAGATGATGGGAAGAGCAGGTCGACCTCAGTTCGACGACCAAGGCAAAGCAGTCATTCTGGTACATGACATCAAAAAGGACTTCTACAAAAAGTTCCTGTACGAGCCATTCCCCGTTGAATCCAGGTAACCATAACCAGAAGTTCCTCCCCACCTCACCATCTCTATTTTTATCTTAGACCAGTGCCATGCAAAAGCTGCAGATTTCATTTTTTTCTTATTTTTTTCTTACGAGAACAAGGCTATTAATACATTGTTGTTTCAGCATTTTTAATACAGAACTGATTTTTCTTATTTAAAAAAAATCTAAACCTCTTTTTCATAGCTCTAAAATAATACAGTGTGAATCCTTAACTGACATATTTATGACTTCAAACAAATAAAAAAATCTTTAAGTATAAGTAAAGAAGTTAGGCTGTGATAGATGTCTTTTTAAACATTAAAAGAAAAACTCTGGCTATGTAAATCCAACACTGTTGTTGTTTCCCCCTCAGTCTCCTCACTGTGCTGTCAGACCATCTGAATGCTGAGATTGCAGCTGGAACCATCTCCTCCAAGCAGGACTCCATGGACTACATCACCTGGACGTACTTCTTCAGACGGCTCGTGATGAACCCCAGGTAAGAAAACAAATCATCCTCATCATTCACATCACCAACAGACACTGTTCACGTGAACCTGCATCTTGGTCAGAAAACCTGTCCTGAATCTACTGTAACATCTGCTGTGTAGACACAGACCTTTCCAGAACATTCCAGTCTGTTTGTGTTTGCACGGCTGTCTGCCCACATTTACCTTTCAGACCTTTACTAAGGCCAGACACCGGGGTAAGAATTACTGTATACAAACTATGTAAAAAAAAGAATGTGTTTTGTGGCACAGATCATAATAAAACATCAAACTGGTTTCACCACAAAAAACAGGGATTTATGGCAATTTAAAACAAGGTCTCAATCAGAACATACAGACGATAAATCTGTAGACATGAGTACAGACAATGGTTCCATCTCTGTCACCTTTATTTATATGAAGCTTTAAAAATTCAACCGCAGGCTACAATGACATATATGAAATGATAAATTGTTCCGTTCTAATGCTCTAATCCTTTGACGCCGTTGTTTATCTCTGCTTGGGTTTTATGTCATATATCACAACTATTCTCAGGCTCTGATTTGCACTACAAAGACACACATGGGTGCACACACACCAACACCCCCCACTGGCTCCCATGGGTGCCATAAAACTCTGCAGGCCGACTCCTGGTACCATCAGGAGCTTAATAGTGATGATAGTAATGGCCATAACTTAGTCAGACAGGCCCTGTCACCAGTAAAGGCCTGTGAAATGTGTTGGGTGATAAACACATACAGGGCTTCGACTCAGGTGCTGTTAACATGTGGAGCAATGGGAATTCAAGAAATACTTAACATTAAACGTCCAGTAAATATGACCATTACTGTGTTAACTGCTGCTCACAGCCCGTCACCATAACTGTGTATTCTTCCCTGTTGGCGCTTGCTGCACACAAAGTGGTTTTATATTTAATGGGAACCATTTTTTACAAGTTAATTCATGAATTGAGCAGATAAATAAAAATGTACCCAAACGTATAATAGGTACCCTCTAGATCAGGGTCAACAACTGTGTTTGTCAGGGGGCCAGAATTTCTTTGGACATACAACTTAGGGCCACAGTAGACGGTTTAGCGTGCTGTATTGTAGGCCACAGGCCACTAGTTGATGATATTATCTCATTTATGCTGTGTATAATAAGGATTAATAATTAATTTTTTGTGCATGCCTACTGAACTCTCATATGGTAACACTTAGCTGAGGATGGAAACCATTTCAGCCACTGGTTGTCTTATTGCTGCTAATAGTCCAACCTGGGAGCTATTTTCTGGTAGAGACTGCCAGTTTTCTCTCGGTTAATGTCTGCTGCTGTTGAAGCATCGCCTGCTTGTCCTACTGTATACAGTATGTTGCACTACAGTACACTACAGTACTCCACTCTGTCATTGTCATCCTACTCCATTGTTAAATGTATATTCAATCAAATATACACCTAACTCTAGCTTAATGACAGCATTAAACAATCAAACCTTCAGCTCTATTAGACAATTAGCACGGCTATCTTTTATTGGTCACATAATTAGAAAATAGCAGCTGAAAACTTGAAAATAATTCTCTTATAATTTATGTATATATGTATCTGTTGTGTTGAACAGTTATTACAGCCTTGAAGACATAAGCCACGAGTCCATCAACAAATACCTGTCCAACCTGGTGCAGAGGAGCCTGCAGGACCTGGAGTGTTCTTACTGCATTGAGATCAAAGAGGTGTGTAGTTCCTCTTTACAAGAAAAAAAAACATAGTTTTCTCCAAAATACACAGTGCTGAATATGTTTGGTGTAATTACTCCAGGATGATCAGACCATCGAGCCGCTGACTTACGGTCGCATTGCCTCCTATTACTACCTGAAACACCAGACCGTCCGCATGTTCAAAGAGCGACTGAAGGCTGAGCTGCCTCTGCATGAGCTGCTCTCCATTCTAACGGTGAGTTTTAGCCTGTTAACGTGCTGTTACTGTTGTTTCAAGCGCACAGGGTAAACTTTTGACTTTTGTGCACAATAAGGGGCTTCAAAACGTCTTTGTCGTGTTTGTCTTTGTTTCCTCTTTTGCTTTTTTGTTTTGTTGGTGCAGAGTTGAAACTGCAGAATAAGTCAAGCAATTAAACCTGATCTGCCTCGCACAAACAATCTTTCAATTAAGTGTCCATAAAAACAAATCAGCGATGTATGTGTCACACTCAACAGTGTAAATGAAAAGTGAAATAACATTTATTTTTAGTGCACGTCTCTACATGTTGATTCCTGTTTCACATAGACAAGAGTTTGAGAAATCACCACGGATGCTGAGTAGGATTTCATCCTTCTTCCTTTTTTTCCCTCTTTCTTTCTTTTTTTTTTCTTTCTTTCTATCTTTCTTTCTTTCCCTTTTGCCTTTTTGAAATATGCAACATTAAAACCTCGTGTGCATGTTTATTTGCGACAACCTTTTTCTGAAAATTATTTTATTGCTAATAAAATCTAAATGTACCGAATACATAAGATACACACACATACACACACTTAACCCGTTGATATTAAATTAGCATCTCAGTGTGAATGTATGCATATTGTAACATTTAGCGCACACATCAGATTGATGCTAATATTTAAAACATGTTTTCATAACATTAATTCAAAGATGTGAATTAGAGACAGTATGTTTATGAAGACTGCAGCAGGCTGTGTTCCATCTGGTCGTGTTGCTGGATGAATTCACGTCTATTTCACCTCTACAATGGTGCTAACATATGGAGGAGAGTTTACTCAGAGACACTAACCATCACTCTTCTTTACACACATGGGCTTGGAACGAGACTAAACCCCCTCGGTCCCCCTCTTTTTTCTGGGACACAGTAGGCCAGTCACCCTGCCGCCTCGGCCACTCCCCCTCTATTAGCTACAAAGCACTGGCATGCTCCTCCAGTTCCTCCTATTGTTGCAGCGTGGCCACTAATGAGCAAACCTCACCTCGCTGCATCACCCCCTCTCTTCAGTGTTAACAAGGTGACACGTTATCACTTTTCACATATGTGTACCATGTGTGATCTACATCTATCTATCTTTGACCTACAGAAGCCTCTTAGAACCTTATTTTTGTCTAATGTGCTGATGTACTGGTCAATATCTGTAGTGGTGCAAAGGTTTATATTCAAGTAAAATACAATAATATTCATAATAAAATGAAGAATGAATGTGTTATTACACCATTGGATGTCTATAAAGAGACTGGACCTGATATTATTAATTCAATCAAATCATCCAATTAAAGCAGTGACAACCTGTAACAACAAGAAAAATAAAGCTAGTCCTGCTTTGTGGAGCCATCTACTTTCTCCAAAGACATTGTGGAAATGTGACATTTCACATCATGTAACAGGAGGTTTACCAACCAATCTGAAAAATATAATTATTTTAGTTATAATGAAAATCCACCAGTCAGACTAAATTCCATAACAGTATAATGTGTTATTGACATGTTTATACATATATAAACTAATCAAAATGATAAAACATTCTACATGTAATGATTGGTACTTGTTTCCTACCACCTATAACCTAATCACTGTTTTGTTTTTTAAGTTTACTTCCTTCCTCCAGCTTTCCTAATGTCTCTGTACCATGACATGAGGAGATGTAGAGACCAGAATTCCTTCTCTCTCCACCACCATCTCCATATGCAGACATTCAAAGACAAATCTTCCAGAGATTATTTCTTCTTCTATTTTCTCCACTTATATCCCAATTCTTTACAGCTCCCATCTTTTGAACCTGTCTCTGGCCAGTGATTGATGCAGTCTTAACAACCGGGGCACCAGCCGAGGCAGTGACAAACTCTTCCACCACCGCCTGTGGACAGAAGAACATTAGCTGAAGTTAAACTGGTGCAAATGAGACAAAGACGCTACACGTGTCTGTGCATTAGTCTGTGGGCCAATAAGCACTTAATCCAGGCCCGGCTCTTCGCCTCCACACAAGAAGACGGATGATGTAGAAACAGTGTTCAATCTGCAGAGACAGTTTATTTTATTTCTTTAAATAATGTACAGATTTTAAAGGTTAGCCAGTCTGCAGCAGCCTTTAGATTTATTTTTCTACCTCAATTTTACATTTTTATGTTTGTCTCTCAGGATGCAGAGGAGTACTCCGAGTTACCCGTCAGGCACAATGAGGACCAGCTGAACAGCCAGTTGGCTCAGCAGCTCCCCCTGCAGGTCAACCCCCACTCTTTTGACAGTGCCCACACCAAGACCCACCTGCTGCTGCAGGCACACTTCAGCCAAGCTCAGCTGCCCTGCAGCGACTACACCACTGACACCAAGACAGTTCTGGACAATGCCATCAGAATCTGTCAGGTAAGACGCAGAGTCCAGCTTTAATAAGTCTCGATAACTTATCACAAACAACACGTAAATCAAATATAAGATTTAGATGTTGTTTACATTGAGTCTGGTGCTAAAGTGTCAACGGTATTGATATTAAAATTTGAATACATACTGTATATGTATATAAAAACATGTATATAAAACATTAATATGTATTTATCTATATAAATATATATGAATATATATATATATGTTTTTATTTTATAGTCTTTATTGTCATGTGTTAGCTTTGCTATTTAGTCTTATTCCTGAGAAACTCATCAAGACAGTCGATAGTTGATCTTTTACAGGTGTTGCAAACATCTCAGATGCAGACATTTGGCTGAGAGCATTTCCATGCAAATGTTTCTGTATCCACTGTGAATAGGTTGAAAAATGTTCATTCATGTTCTTTTTTTTTTTTTTTTTTTTTGCTGTTTGAAGTGAGAACGTCTGTGAACCATTGTCCACAGCTCAGCCTGTTGTGTGTGTACTGTACATGTGCTTGTGATTATCCATGCTGAGTATCTGGCAGTGATATTGCATGGCTCATGAATGTGGTAACTTCACTCCTGTCCTTCTGCTACCATTCACTCAGAAGGTTCTGATCTTTTGGTTATGTATGTGCTTGCATTTATTGAAAGAATGTAAAATTGTATTGCTACTTACACTGGACATTAAGTGAAAATGACCCATGACTGTCTTTGTCATTTTACCGCATAGAACAGTTTGTCTATGTTGTCTTTTTTTAACCTTTAAGAAAAAAAAAAAAAAATATATGTTTATATATTTCTTATTTTCTTCTATTGTCGTTAGACTTAATAATATTAATATATTTGAATATTTGTATAATGTTATTAATTTTATTGTTCTTCTCCACAGTCCATGTTGGATGTAGCTGCTAATGAAGGTTGGCTGGTAGCAGCCATCAGTATCTGCAACCTGGTCCAGATGATCGTCCAGGGTCGTTGGCTTCATGATTCTTCACTACTGACGCTGCCTCATGTAGAACAACAGGACCTGTATCTCTTCAGGTACAGAGCACAGGTGGAGCTGTGTGGCTCGTACACTCAGTTAGCTGTAGCTGTTTAGGATTTTTAAGGACAATTCAAAAGGCTGGTTTATGCTGTTTACCATAATGTAAAACTACACCTTAAAGCTGAAATGTAGCTATACAAAATTCACTAAAATCTCAAGCTCTGAGAAAGATGGGAGACAGTAACAATACAGCGACTGAATTTCAGGTGTGATGTTCATCATTTGTTGTTTTCATTGAATTTCCCACCTTCTTTTTTCAATCAATCAATAGAAAATGGGCAAACAGGAAAGACAGGAGGGACAAAGGAGGATTCAGTGGACCCATCGAAGGACTTCCTGAGCTGATCGCTGCATGTGATGGAAAAGAAACTACTTTTGCTGCCATTCTCAGCCAAGAGTTCCATTCAAATCAGATAGCTCAGGTATGATATTGAAACATGAGCCCACTGCTCTATGAAGCTGAAAATGACTGGTATTTTCAAAATGACTTTCCATCTTAAATGGAAATGTCTTGTGTTTCTTAAACAAATATCTGTCTATGGTCCTCTACCTGACCACAGTTTAATAAAGTCATCATTAGTGTGATATATAATGCATTTCCATAACCCATAAAAGGTCTTTAAGATGGAAATGACTCTGCTCATTCAAAGTCTGTAGAAACATGTAGAAGAGAGTTGTATTTTGAACAAACAAAAATCAAAGTAGTTTTTAAAATCTTAACAATGCTCAGGTGAATATGCAGTGAATTTACAATATACAATTTAAGATGCACTCCGACTTGTATTACAATCACATAAAACACTGACAGAATGTAGTTTGCCCCAAAAAACTCTGATTCTCTGCTGATTTTCTTTCTAAATTCTGCAAACCTCATTGTAGAGAATGTTTTTATATACTTTTCGTTTAATCATCAATAATCCAGTTTGGACCAGAAAGTTTACTGTGATCAGAAAATATTGCACATCAATAAAACAAATCTCCTGAATGGCCCTGTTCTCACATCTAGTTCATATCTAACAGAGATAATATCAGTCAGTTACACACACACACACAAACACACACACACACAATCATCACTGATGTGTCATGAGCATGACACCACTGTGGTCCCAGAAACCTCCTGGATCCCCAATTACAGCAGCACTGATGGGGTTTTCAGCACCAATTTCACTTCTAATTGCAGCAGTAATGAGAGTGTCCGTGCACTTCCACAGGCCCTTTGGCCTCATCCAATCAATGTCCCTGCACCTCCCCAACTCCCACCTTTACTCCCCCTCTGCTCCTACCCATGCACACGGAGTGTGAGACTCTTTAATTAAATAATTAGATGTGCAGCAGTGTCTCTGTCTGATGCTCTCAGGAGTGAAATCCTCATATAAACGGCTTGTGCAGAAAGATCCTGAGAGGTTCCTCTCTCCTTTTTGAGCTTTAAGCACATTACCATGCAAACAAGTCATACATAAACACACGTGTATGTGTATATTTTTAATTATTTATATATATATAATTTAATTCATAGAACCCTCATGATCTTTTGGTTTTGAGTGCTCTAAAATATATACTTGACTTCTTATATATGAAGCATCATTGTGTGGGTGACTTTTTTCTTGCATATGTTTTTTATATTATACACTTTTTCTTGGTCCTGTTTTCAGGCCTGGTCTTACCTGAGTCACCTCCCAGTGCTGGAGGTTAAGCTGAGTGTGAAGGGCTGGTGGGAGGAGAGCAAAGAGCAAACAGAGCGACTACTACCTACAGCTGGAGGAAACCTCAGAGACGAGAGGAGCTGGCTGCAGGTCCACTCTGACCAAGAGTACGTCCTCCAGGTGTCACTGAGACGCATCAATGTCAACCAGCAGAGGGTCAGTATATCTTCACACTAAAAAAATCTATCTAATTTTTATCTTTAATTTTACAGATGAAGTATCTGACCCTACAGCAAAACATTTTTGTGTTTATATGTGTATTAGAGGAAGCAAGACAGTAAGGCTCAGGCACCAAGGTTTCCCAAGGCAAAGGACGAAGGCTGGTTCCTAGTGATGGGTGAGGTGGATCGAAGGGAGCTGGTGGCCCTAAAAAGAGTTGGATATGTTCGTAACCGCTCATCAGTGTCTTTGGCTTTCTTCACGCCAGAGAAGACGGGAAAGTAAGAAGCTTCTTTATACGGAGTAAATGAAATATAATACTGTTCATCAAGCCCTCAGTCAAAATCCTGAGGTGTACCTGTCGTCTCACAGATCTCATGCATTATAGTCAAATACATTGACTTTGATTTAAACATTCCCGGAAGCAGCAGGTTTTGTCACAATCCCAGAATTACATTAAGAGCTTGTTTGAGTGGGTGACAATGACCATGAATCACTCAGACCTTCAGTGAGTGAGGCTATTACTGCTTTTTGATTCTGTGCTTGTTGAGATGAAAGGTGTGTTAAGTGATTACATTAAAAAAAAAAAAGATTTATGAGCTATAACCTTCTCTTACCGCCTTCAACAGGAATTTGTTTGATTTGACTGTTATTCATTGCGTCAAACTAGCCATGTAGATTTTCACAAAAACAATGTTTTTAAATTCTTTGTTGGTGTCACTATTTTCACCTATTGACTCATGTGGTTTCAGGTGTATCTACACTCTGTACCTGATGAGTGACAGTTACTTGGGTTTGGACCAGCAGTACGACATCCACCTAAACGTCACCCCCGCCAGCATTGCTGCCCAGGTCAACACAGAGGTGTCTGACTCTGTGTCAAGCATAAGCCTCAGCTGATCAACAAAATGAACTTCTTCGTCAGTGATTGGCCGATGGTTCCAGAACACAAGGACAGATAATGTGATAATCATGGAATAAAAGAGACACTTTAGTTTCTAAAATAATTTCCTTTTTTTATATATATATTTTTTGTTTAAATCTGATTCACAATGATTTCCACCTGGTCACAAAGCAGTGTTTCACTTTGGGCCACACTTTACTTGGTGAATTAAATGGTATGCTATATTGCAATTATAGTTGTTTCATGTTTTTTATTTTAGCCAATCACGTTGGAGGAGTCCAACAGGGCACCATGTGGGGGACAGCTTCACAGCAGGCAGGTGAAATAAAAACTGACACAATTACAAATGTTGACCATTATAGTCCACCAGATTTCAGAAAAGCATTTGCTAATAGATTCAATGTAATAATGTACATTGTACTGTATACAGTATATGATGCTGTGTTGAATTTGGTGTCTCATCTATGGCTAAACCTAGAGTTAACTGGCAGATTTTACCATAATAATCTGACCAGAATTTGATGATTGACACATGATGTATAAAATATACAAATTTATATTTTTATGTATTATACATAATCTTTTCTTTCCTTTCAAAGCGAAAATACTCATAAGAATAACAAATAAATATGTTTGACACACCCTGCTCTTTTTTCTGTTTTTTTCTCAGATTAAATTACAGCATCGACCAGTATCCTACTGCTGCAGAATTAAGAGCTGACATCATCTTTTCAGACTTCTTGGACTGACATTAGACATTGGAGCTTCTTTAATTGCTGGGCTGTGTGTGACACATATGGATTGAATACTATATATACATGCAGTATGTCTGTTAATGAAGAGACTTACCAGCCTGACAATCATTGTAAATAGCGTTGATGGTTAGCCTTTGTGTTAGTTTACGATATCTGCAGCATTTAAAGTGCTGTGCAGGTCTGGAGATATGCAGTATTTATAGTTGGGTATGACAGCGCAGTACAAGCTAGATTAGTTAGATTAGTCCATATTGATGATGTTGACCAGGGAGTTATTAAAAACCTTTTGACTTGGTTCAAAAAAGAAAGTTTTCACCAGTTTTAAGAAATGTATCAACAGGGTTCAGGCCTATAGGAGTACCACGTGGTACTACTGTAGTCAACTGTATCCTGTAATTACTCTGTGTGGAACACATGTTCCCTGAGGTTTCATTGGATTGTAAGTATTTAGGGAACGTTTCGGTTCTGGTGGGCTGGTTGTGGATTGTGACAGAATTAATTTCGGGCAGGTCTCTACCAAAGACAAAAGCACAGGGATCAGGAATCAGTATGTTTTAATTATTAGAGCTGTTTACAAGCAGTAAATCAGTCTGACATTGATTTTGTTTTTGTTGTGTACTTAATCTATCACATTTCAAAAGTCATCCCAACTTTAAAATGAGCTGTTGTTCTAGGGGTGTGTCAGAGTTCGTCTGATCGAAGCACAGGGAGATATACATGAAAATATGATGTGATGAAAACTAAACCTTTTTTTGCCTTTTATAGGTTAGTTCCACAGATACTACCACCAGCATACATATGTAAGTATGGCACATGTAGAATGCTACAGTATTGTGACTGCAACTTCGCACATATGTCACCGAGACAATAAAAGTGATGTGGATAAATGAATCTGTCCACCCACTCTCCTCCATCCTTTAATTAAAAAAAACTTTCATATAGAAATACAGTTTCTCAACTTAAGAAAGCACCAGCTTTAAAATATGTTTACTTGTACATAATATAACATTTATGACATGTTACTACTATTTTAAAACAAATTATCAACTTTCAACTGCAAAGAAAAGCATGTTTCCTATTGTGAAACAGTTGTCTTACACTAGGGCGCACAACATTAAAAAATTCTTTACTCCTAGTATTAGAGATGCTTATTTTACCGAGAAGCCTGTGTGACCGTGGTAGAGTCTGGAGGTGAAGTAAAGTTTAAGTTAAAAGTCAATATGCTCAAAACCTTTTCAGCATCCAAGAATAATTTTCTCACCACAGCCTGGTTCCTATTATGCTGACTGACTGTCTGCACTGGATCCATCATAGCCAGAGATGGAGATTAAGAAGCTGTGTGCTCATTCTGACCTCACCATCATAATCATCTCCGCTACTATCATCACGCATTTTCACTCTTTCTCGTTTATTTTAAGGATTACTTAAAAATAATATAATAACGTTACATTGTTAATAATTTTTGTAGGCATATTTTCCTTTAAACTAAAAGTTTATTTTTATTCAAATCATTCTGGATTCATTTGTCCCGCCCCCAAAACGCAACGCTTCTCATTATCACTCTTAATAATACTCCTGACCAATTTTCATTTTCTAACCCATTTTTTTGGTAAAAAAAACAAACAAAACAACAACAACAATCTTCAACAATCTTAGTTGTAACGTGTAAATGTCCTGATTTTAAAACATTCAATTAGAAACAAATATTTACAAAACATTTTTGAAGCATATTTGATTCGGATGATTCAGAAGGGCCTGTACGTACGTCGATTTGCATGAGTTTTATTTTAAGGGAAAAAAGTAAGGCGTTTTAAATATGTTTTTAATCAAATTATTTAAGCATTTCCAAATGAGGGTGTGCTACTTTAAAGCTTAAACATGTATGCTGAAAAACAGATGGAAACTTGACAAGATAAAGTGAATAAGAATAATTTAATATGTTTAAACGACTAATTTTGATTTAGTTCTGCAATTTTCCGTTGAGCGAAAGGTTGTGGGATTTCGATTCGGTTAAGGGCCAGAGGTTACCTACTGAACGTCACTATAAAGACTGGCCAATGGAGGTACAGACGACACAACACGTTGACCAATGGGAGCAGAAGTCCTTAGAGTAGGCGGAGCTTGTAGCATAAGCTTTGGAGAGTCTGGATGTGCTGTTGTCCATTTAAAAAAATTCACATAGGATGGTAATGAAATGCAAGTGTGGGAAGATTTTAGATGTTTTTTTTAGAATATCAAACGCGTCGTATTAATGCACAATTACTCTCTTTTTTGTGAGGTAAGAGCCAGATCAAATTGTTTTTTTCCCCAGAGATCATCAAACAAGTGTCTTTATTAATTTGAATTTTCGTCGGCTGCTCCATAAGCTGTGTCATACATACAAATGTCTGTGTGATGCTTTTCTGTCTTCCCCCAACCCCCGCTCATCCAAGACATGGTGGATTTAGGCTGAGTGTCGAACCCTCCTACTGTAACGCAGATTTAATCCTCGAGGAATCCAGGAATTAGACGCACCCCCTGCTTGTCTGACACTTGGAAATATGGGAATGTGTTGACGCAGCGGCAGTGGCTGCGGGCCGGACAGCGCAGACTGCAGGGACGAGTCCGGGTCCGTGTGAGGAGACGCCGGGTCTCCGTTATTTGAAGCGCCATGAGACACCTCCTGGACAACGACTTGAAAAAAGACCACTGAAAGGCTCGGAGAAAGACACACAAAGAGAGGACATAAAGGTTTTATGAAGTGAGAAAGAGAAGAAAGAATGAAGGAGAAATCCAAAAACGCCGCCCGAACGCGACGGGAGAAGGAGAACAGTGAATTTTATGAACTGGCCAAACTGTTGCCCCTGCCCTCGGCCATCACCTCCCAGCTGGACAAAGCCTCCATCATCAGACTGACCACCAGCTACCTGAAGATGAGAATTGTCTTCCCTGAAGGTAACACCGAGTAACTACTGCCTTTTAGTGTAAAAGCAAACACAGTCAACATGAAAAAAAAAATCTTACTACTGCAGACTATTGTAATAATTAAAAGAAGAGCTATTAGAAATGCAAATGTTTTAAACGCCATTATTATTATTATTATCACTATTATTATTGTTGTTGTTGTTGTTGTTGTTATTATTAATTTATTTTTAACTTAATTTTGTGTTCTAGTATTTCAAATTTTACTACGTTTAAAACTTTTTGTTCTTACAATTATATTCGTTATTTACAATTAATCTGTCTAGAAAGGAACAAATTATATTTTATTTTTTTTTTATTTTAGTATGTGTACAGGACGTATTGAAGATGATCAAACTTTTATATATATTTAAATGAGCATCACAGGTCGCCGTCAGATCTGTAATTTAGCAGCGCAAATTCTGATAGTTTTCTAGGTAAATACATAGAATGCAGCAAGACTTTTTTCAGTATAGTGATTAAAAACGATTCTTGCAGACCGCTGAGGAAAAGAGGAAGCGATTATAATAATGACCTTCCCTTTATCACTTTTATCTATAGATAGATAGATGGATAGAGGATTTCTATCTAAGATTTCTCCTCTGACCACCTCTCTGTGTCCACACCATGGACTGATGGGGTTTCTCCGGGGGCCCCTCGTGGCCCCTGGCAGCAGATTATCTGTGATGAGTTTCCATCCTGCGTGACTGCTGCGGAGCCGCACATTTTAGTGTGACGTGCACATCTGAGTGCTGTGAATCTGGAGCTGCCCGTGGCTGTGGAGCAGATTGTGTTGTGATGATGTGGTGATGGTGGAATAACAAAGAGTCTAAATGGAAAATACAAAGGAAATATGGACCCTGGATTATTATCTGGTCTCATTTTCATAAACATACATCAACGTGTTACCCACTTGAAAAAGAAAATAGTTAACGGTGCATTTGATTTGTATATCTTAATACTGAGATGTCAAGTGACAAATCGGACTGAGCTCACTCAGGTTTACACCGGACAGTTCACAACAACTGAAGCTGCTGCATGTTGTCTTCCAGTAGTGAGTGGTAATATACGTCATCACCAGAATACACATTCAAATGTGCACAAATAAACCTAAATATATTACGGTATTATTTATTAATGTTACTGTAGGAACATTATTTCGTCTTGATTTGCCCTTTGCTTTGTGTGTCTACTAAAGCATTGATTCAATAAGAACCAGTGAGTCCAATGAATAAGACATCGCGCAGGGTGAGGGAGAGCAGGCTCTGCAGGAACATGGTCTTTTTACTTTTGGTAGCCTCATAAATAATAATAATAATTAAAGAAAACCTGCACAAAACTGCAGCTCATTGTTCCTCTGGTCTGAATAATGGCTCTGCAGTGCCAACAAGGACCACGAATACCTGAAAATGGAACCGATGTGCTGCAGGGACATCATTGGTCAGCACTCTGCATTTCCAACGTGAATAGAATAAAAGTCTGACTGTCACGCTGTGATGGTCCACGTGCGTGTCCCCTGGACTGGGCGCATGAGCTGAATATTTAAATAAAAGTGGCACTTCAGACATCCCCGCACCCAACATTTAATTCAACATGTTGCGTTAAACCCTGGATCCAATTCTAACTGGTCCAGATTATAGTTAGATGAAGGTCAAGATGAGATAGAGGATATTTGTACTTTATGGTCATCTTTAAGGATCAGGTTTTTAAAAAAGAAAGGAAGTCGGGAGGATCATTTAGAGTAGTACTGAGTACCTGTGCGTGTCTGTGCTTGAGAGTTAAATGGATATGAACTTTGACCCTAACCACATTGACCTCACTCCCTATCTCACCCAGGTTGTCTTGATTATTAAGTAGATAAATATAATGTAATAATTAATACGTAACAAATGGTATTTTAAAATTAAGATTTTGAATATTCTATAAACCGTTTACAGTTTGTTAAATATTATTTTTAAATAATATTTATTATCTTTAGAGTTAAAAAAAATCATCGGATCATAGAATAATGGTTTAGATGGAAAACAAAAGTTTATTGAAAATGTAAGGATCGATTTTAGTCTTTTTGAAAGATAACAAAAATAACAACCAGCACAGTAATAATGGTAATAATAAATGCATAAATTGAACAAATTGTATTGTAAATAATTACAATTTTTTATATATATTTTGTTTACACTGATTTTTTACGATTTGTTTTTTGTGGTATTTCAGACAAAAAAAAAATCACTGATTTTGTTCCATTTATATTCCATTTCTCACTCGACAAAGGTTGTAAATTAATTATTTTATACTAATTATTTTTTCGTTGTCCCGTGCTTTTATTCTCCTTTACTGTGACAATTTTACGCGACAGATAAATGAACCTCTTTTACATCGGGAATACAACGCGCCCGGTCTCGAACAGATGGGATTTTTATTGAAGCCACATGCTGTAATAAATAAATGTAAAATTAAATCTAACAAAATAGGAACAAGGGACAGTAATTATGGCCGGGCGAATATTTTTATTTATTTAATTATGAACCGATATGACGGTGGTTAGTGTTATGAGAATAATTAATAAGAGGTCTGGACCAGGCCTCGGTGTTCGGTCCACTCCACTGTGCTCTTCAGATGCTTCACTGAAACCCAAGCTGTTCATAGAGTCACAGAAACAAAAATACTGAAATAATCCGCATATTGTAATGCAATCTTTATCATTTGAAATATCCGTATTATATAAATCATTACCCCCCCCCCCAACCCCCATACTGAGAGTCAAGCTTTACCGGAGCACTAAGTTCCTTTCTCTCTTTTACATTATTAAATTAATGAGACTAGAACAATATTCAACTTGGTTACCAAACAGATTTCTCGCGGTAAACATTAAATATTTTCTCTTCTCTAAGTATATACATCTATAGTGTATTTTGGTATTTGTTTTAATTACAGTATAATGATTTCGATGTTAGATACGTTTGAAAAATAATTAGTGTGGCCATTATTCACATTACTTAATCGAACAACTAATTTACATAATAAAATACACACAGTCATAATTAGTGCTGCGTGTCAAATGAAACGTTCTCATTATTTATTAAGAGCTCCTTCTGTTCTATGGTGTATTTAAAGAGCCTTTAAATACTATATTTCTCCTTAACCAGCTGTGTTTCCGTGATAACGGTGAGGACCGCAGGGGTGTATAATGGGGAAAAGTGACCGTGAGTCGCTGAGCTGCTCCCTGCTTGTTTATCCTGACGAGGGGCATTTGCATTTCAATACGCATGTGTATACACACAAACACAAACAGATGCACGGTTTGTGTTCTATTTCTCTCTCTCTCCTCTTTTTTCTCTACAAATATAGACCCTCTCCAAGTCTATTTGTACTGGGAGTGTATGTTTTGCATCCCCAAGGCTGCAGATCACACCGCTCCATCTCTAAATAACTATAATCTGAGACTTGTGTTGTGTTGGTCATTGCTATTTAAAAGCAGTCACCGGAGGCTGTTCGCCCTGGTGCTGCACTCACACTGCTGCACTGCATATGAACAGTAGATGTTCATTTAAGGGCATTCTTAACTGTGATCTTTTTTTTTTCATTCAATGAAGTTAAAGGTTTTTGGGAACAGCAATTGAAAGTTAGAGCCGTAGAGTTGCCATGTACTGAAGAATGTAGGCATGAGTTCAGTGTCAACTCTGTCATGTTAAAATGTGACTGAAAAACTCCTGATCAGTTCATCTGGAGAAAGCATTTCTGTTTATCAACACAAACTCTTCCTGTGTGTGTTCTGGTTTGGTGTTACATGTTGAAGCCTGGGGCAAAAAGCGTACAAGTCTGAAAATGGTGGCAGAAAAATGCCTTAGTTAAATAAGTAGTTACATATTGCCCACCCAACTGTAGTTCAAGAGAAATTGGACTTGTCTTCAGGGGGGAATTAGAGGCAAGAAGGGCAGTTATACATGTAACACTGCGAGCAGAGTAGAAACATAGTCCGGAAAGGATCAAAATATCAATAAAAATGATAAAAATTGTGGATATATCATGTTAGATATTTGTAATTGTGTTAATTGCAATAATGTTGCTTTATACCTAAGAAACAGAGAGCAAATTTACATGAATGCAAATTTCAATGGCAGAACTATGATGTGGTGAAAGAGAAAAATAATGATGATGCCAGACAGGGATTTAAAAGTACAAACTAAGTACAATGTTAATTAATGTGACCTCAGATAGACAAATATTACCTTTAGCTTAACTTAAAGGTGTGTTGTTAAATATTATATTTGGTATAATTTAACCAAACATACCCATATAAATAGTCAAGAAAAGAGTCCTTTACTTTAGCCTTGTAAAAAAATCTTACAGATGGCAAGATGAAAAGTCTGAAAGTTTTGTTCTACTAAGAACATGTTCATTTTTATGTCATTTATGTTCCTATATGTATTTTGTTTCTTTAAATGCTTTTGTCTTTTTGTGTTTAAAAATAGCATGGTTTTCCTAAAACATCTTATTAACCTTTAAAAGAAAACATTTTAAAAATGTGTTTATTTAAAACATGATAGGTCTTTTAAAAACACATTTGTTTTTGTTATTTCACATTATAATCTTCTGTCTGTCACTCATTGTCCAGGTCTTGGGGAGTCCTGGGGTCATGTGAGTCGCAGCACGTCTCTGGATGGAGTCAGCCAGGAATTAGGCTCTCATCTCCTACAGGTATGAAATGCTGTGGTTGTGAGATTTTACATGTTGAAAGGCAGCTATGAAGTGAAATGCTTGTAGGTCTCATAAAAGGGCCCTAATTGTTAAAAAACATGTCTGTAAAACACCCTGAAATCCATTTATATTCCAGCCTTATAGGCTGTGTTTGTGTGGTTTAGTGGCCACCACCATCTGCCTCCTGTTGCCTTCATTCTTGTGAGGAGTGAAATGAGCTGAACACATTCCTGGTCACGTACAAAGCCTCAGTCTGTCCTGCAGCCTCGCTCACATCAGCTGCAGCACAATGGAGCAGGGCTGCAGAGTGACCAGGCTGGACAAACAGAGCCATACGGCTGCAGCCATGTTTCTACCAGCCTGACAGAGGGAACGCAAGTCAGAGGAACACCGCTCTGCAGACGCAGAAGAGTAACAGAATACAGACAAATGGGTCGATGGGTTTACAGTCAGTCAAGCCAAAAATGTCTGTTGTGGTTTAATAGTGAAAATGCAACAGAAGTGACAGACTGTGAGCTGAATAGTGGGGGCGAGTTGTTGTAAATGAGTCAAATCAATGGTAAATGAGCCTCTCCTTTCCCCAAGGATCAAATAATATTATTGTCATTTAATGTAATTTTAATCTTATGAGTTAGAAATATAATATATATGAAAATATTACTATTTTCATAATTTACAATATTAATGTATATCACATTCTAATTAACACACATACATAGTTTTATGTATTCTAAATTGTATTTTTAAACATGATATGATTGTCTTTTGCTTTGCAGCAAATAAAGTTGTTGCTGGCAAAGTGAATTCCCTCCAAATAGTCCAAATCCAAATAGTTGTTGAAGTTCTGTCTTTGAGAAAACCAGAATTATTCTAACATAGTGACTAAACACACTTCATCCTATCACAGCAGGTTAATCACAAGTAAACCAGACTAATTTCTAACGTATGCTTAAATGCTACCTCTCATCAAGCAAAACAGAAACCAACAAACAAGACTACATTACATCTGCCCCTTTAAATCTGGAGCTTCGGTACATACCACTGTAGCTTCCTGCCTGTCCTCAAGAGATTATTTTGTCATGACGTCCTGACAGTAAGTAACTCCGCTGTAACTGTAGCTCTTCAAACTTCTAATGATTGACTTGTTTGTTCCAGACATTAGATGGCTTCATCTTTGTGGTGGCTCCAGATGGGAAAATAATGTACATATCAGAAACAGCGTCAGTCCACCTGGGCCTGTCGCAGGTTGGTTTGTTGAACATTTCTAAGTGATTTCTCGGCTTGTGTGGCCACTTTTCTAAATTAAATGTTGTCTCTTAACAGGTAGAGTTGACAGGAAACAGCATTTTTGAGTACATCCACCCGGCAGACCACGACGAAATGACGGCCGTCCTCACAGCACACCAGCCTTATCATTCTCACTTTGTCCAAGGTAGATTTTACTAATGCCAACATAATTTAAACAGTCATAAAAGAGCATGAATAATTCAATTAAATGAGTTACTGTCTCTGCAGAATATGAGATAGAGCGTTCCTTCTTTCTAAGAATGAAATGTGTCCTCGCTAAAAGGAACGCTGGCCTGACTTGTGGAGGATACAAGGTAAGACTGGTGTTCATTTACATTTTTATTTGGGTGTGGAATGTTAATGCTTATGTTACATTTGATTAAAAAAATATATTTTAGGATATGTATGTGTGGTCACTGTACAGTCAACACACAAGACTAAAAGTTATTTCAGACATGCACTGCACAAATTGTTGTGGTCCATCTGGACCAGACATTCATATGGAATTTGCAGTTTGCATTTCTTACAATGTGAGCTCACGCAGACATTTTTCTAAATTTGATCAGAGTGCTGACAGCACAGTTTTCACAAAATGCCTGCTGTGTAATTTGTGGACATCTGCATTCTCCTTTCTTCTCAGGATAATTTCAGGAACTTTCCAGATTTGTAGAAACAACTATTTGAAGAAAGCTAAAATGTAACAAAATTAAAATCTAAAGCTGTTGATCATTTTTTCCTCCGTGGCCTCTGGGTGCAGGTGATCCACTGTAGTGGCTACCTGAAGATCCGACAGTACAGCCTGGACATGTCTCCATTTGACGGCTGCTACCAGAACGTTGGGCTGGTCGCTGTGGGCCACTCTCTGCCGCCCAGTGCGATTACTGAGATCAAACTTCACAGTAACATGTTCATGTTTAGAGCCAGTCTGGACCTGAAGCTCATCTTCCTGGACTCACGGTACACTCTCTTCCTACAGATACATTTATTTAGTGTGTATTTTGGCTTTTGTGCAAATTTTTGGTGTGTGTTGCTCAGGGTTGCAGAGCTGACTGGTTACGAGCCTCAGGATCTGATAGAGAAGACACTCTATCACCATGTCCACAGCTGTGACTCCTTTCACCTCCGCTGTGCTCATCACTTGTGTGAGTTAAGTTTGTTTTACCTTCTGACAAACTCTCTTGGTGTCTCCCCACATTCATGAACAACATGTCTGCTTCATCCTTCATTATATATTTTACTCAGACAATTTACACAATGTCATAACTGTTTCAACTCAACCATGTATGTTTGTTATGTATGAGTATTCATAGAACCATTATATATTTTGCAGTATATATTTGAAGCACCTTTAAATAACATACAACAGTAAAATGTTTGCCAGTTATTTCCACCTGCTTTAATGCGTTTGACCCTCTCTAACAGATTAATCACATGTTGTTTTCTTTCCCCACCTTGCCCCATCCTGCAGTGCTGGTTAAAGGTCAGGTCACCACTAAGTATTACCGTTTCCTGGCCAAGCAGGGAGGCTGGGTCTGGGTCCAGAGTTATGCAACCATTGTGCACAACAGCCGCTCCTCCAGGCCTCACTGCATCGTCAGCGTGAACTGTGTTCTGACGTGAGTAACTGCGTATTGTTTCCTTAAATGCTGCAGCACTGATGTCCATGATTCTACTGATGTTGGAAGTGTTTGTTTTGATCACTGTTTATGTATCTGTTACATGTGGTCAGAGCTGTGGTGTTCCTGTTCTTCATTAACGTTCTCCAAGAGATCACATCTTAATTAAATTGTGAGGTTGGAACACTGACTGGTGTTTTCATAGTTTTGTTTGATAGTATTGATCATTTGCTTTTTGTATCAGACTTTGGTAAAACACTGACTAAGTGTTTGTGTTTCACTTTTTAATGAGCGTTTTGATCTGAGGTTTTTCAAATGATCAACTCATTAGAATCCGCTTTTCTAATACAATGTTATAGAGTAACTCCAGACTAAAGGAATTTGCTCCTGTTACCAACTTTTTAGTCAGTGTCGGTACATATGGAGTTACTTCCAAACCCATTAGAGCTCTTTGGATCTACTCCTGTAACCTCACTCTTGCAAACAGATGTACGTTTCTTACATACAGTCTACGGCCCAACACTGACCACAGTTAAGTCTCCAAAACTATACTAAATGTTAAAAACTCAACCAATACAAACTTAGTGTTGCCCATATTTCTGTTTCTACAACTGAGCAAAATGAGCGGAATGGACTGAAACTGAAACAGGGAATAAACCTGAGCTTTCAACTTCTGCTATGACAGAAAAATCAGTGTTGATACTGAGGATTTATATTAGCAGATCACATGAAGCAATTAACTGAAGGTTAATTAAAACATGAGGTGTTTGTTTTTTTAAATACCTGGCAGTGAAGAACCTTTGTCAACTCACCGCCCTGGTTTTGTTGGGAAAAGAAGTTTGTTGCTCAATTTTAATGTTTTTTTATGTAGAGTGATGTAATCACAAGCCCAAAACAAACTTCACACAACATCTTTAATTTAAGATTAGTACCTAATGATCTTTTAATAATAACAATTTTCTCCCAACTGGAGGTGAGTTAGACTTAGGTGAGTTCTTCCTCCAACTCTCTCTCTCTTTCTTTCTCTCCCTCATTTTTTTCTGTCAGTGCCAGGTTTTTTGTTCCTTGAGGCTGATTACTGTATGTGTTGGTTATTTACAGTTGTGGCCTCTCTGTGCTGGTAATCTCAGTCATCTGGTAGAGTTTATCTAAGACTGGCAGCTCTGCCTGCAGAGAATATAAACAGAAACAGAAACTGAAGATTCAAATCCCCAGCCGACATGTGGCTGCCAATCCAATTTACAAACAGCTATTGTGCCTCTATCCTATAAAATCCATATGTTAATCATGTCAGATATTTTACAGAAGGTGTGTCTAAGGTCTGGCCCATGAGCCAACTATGGCACTTTTCTCTAAATGCTAATTATTAATTCACAAATGACTAGTAATTGTATTTCCTCTGTGGTCCCTTCAAATATTTTTCCAAAATCAAATTTTGTCCCCATTAAAAAGCATTACATTCCTCTGCTCTATTCTCAGGAGCCACAATTAAATAAATGAGCCAGAAAGGCTGTTTTATTTACCCATTATACTATTATTTTATTGCCCTCCCTGTGTGTATTTCACAGATGTATGGGCGAGCACATATAAGAATACAGCCTATAAATGGATCTAGTGAACAGCATTTCTAGCTGCATTTAAAGTCAGAGAACAGCTTAACACACATTTGCTCTACCTCCTACACTAAATCCACGATGAGTCTGTGTTTATAGCCTTTTAATTGATAGGTCGTAAACTTGATGAGTGTTTATGGGCTACAGCTTGCTGTCAGGGGGACCGTGCTTTAATCCCTGCTCCTTCTCCCCATGCTTCCTTTGTTAGTTCTGCTGCCTCTGCTTTTGTAATTTACTACAAAGATTGAGCCACACAGTCAGCGTGAGTACAGTCTGAGGTAGGCTCTGGTGTAGAGCTCTTATCAGCAACAGAGGAGGTTTGAGCGACACCTCCACTGTGTACAATCGGGGATAACCAGGTTGATAAGGGCACTTCACCTGCCTGTGAACTCTCACTGTGTGTCCAGCTCTGATAACCCATGTGCACCTTCTGTCCCGGGTCGGTGGACCTCATTTTGCTGCCACAGTCTGCCAGTGATTTGGCAACACTTTGAGTAACGGCATGTCTGCACCGCAGGCACATTGTATTTGTTGCACACTGTCAACAGTTAGGTTGTGTTTAATCAGCACTGCTGGTGCTACAGCATCTGAGCACAGAGTTAACCGTCACTCTGCTGTCTCACACATGAAATCCTTTCTGCACCGTCAGAGTGAACAGAGTATTAGTAAAGAATACAAATGTATTGTATTATTGTCAATAACTCTGGTACTGTATGTATATGCTGCTTCTGCATTTTTGGATGAAAACAGGATGAGCCTGAATACAACACAAGCATGCTTTTATTTGTGATATTAGAAGTTTCAACTCTTAATTCTTAAAACATGAAGTATACATGCACAAATAAATGATGGCTAACTTCTTAGCAGCTAATATGTCCATCAAAACTGTCCTATTACCTATATGCTGACCGGTGAAATCTACAGGTACAGCAGATGAACATCGTATGTGTGCAACTGAGTATGTAACAAATGACCAATAAAACTCCTGAATCTTGAGGCCAGATTACATTGTAGATTTTATGGCTGTCAACAAACGTCACTGACATGAGTCCTATAGATCGTGTGTGCGTCTGTGTGGGCCTTTGTTGTCGTGTTTGCCTGGAGAAGCGATATGCCAGGAGGATTTGAAATGGATCACTGTTTGCCCTGATTGAGCCCCATCCAGGTTTTTCTGTTTTCTCAAACTCAATCCATCATCAGTTGCTAGATCTGTAGAACACTTATGTTGGAAATCAATTCCAATTTCCCTGTAGTGAGATGTCTAAATTTCTCCACTGAGCCTGATTTAGCCAGACACAGCCTTTAATCTCTCTGTGTATTTGAATGGAAAGCTTTTCTTCTGTAGTGTGTTTGTTGAAGGCCTTGCTGCAATCTCGCTGCATCCCAACAGCCGTGGACGCACCCCCCACCCCGACATCACACAGACACTGCAACACAAACACACAGAGCTCCTCACACTGAGCCTTCTCAGCGCTGGGATCATGCTCTAATTCCTAAACAGATGTTAATGGGTTTTGTACCTAGGGACGGAGCAAACACACAGGTAAACTCAAGCTGTATATATTTGTTAATACACAGCGTGTACAGCTGGGAAGCGTCGCCTGCTATGTATCTGTGGAACATATTGAATCTGTGACATACCAATTCAAAATGTTAATATTGCTCTGCTGTCTGAGTCGCATGCTTTCTGCTGGTGTCTTCAGGGAGACGGAATACAAAGGACTACAACTGTCTCTGGATCAGGCTGCATCCAAAGCTTCCTCCACCTACAGCAGCAGTGCCGTGGCCAACAGCCTGGTGGACAGCTGCAGGACTCCTAAGAGCAAAGTCTCCCGTCAAAAGACCAAAGCCAGATTATCGCCATACACGCAGGTAAAAAACACCTAAACTAGCAACCATACATGAGAAGATGGATTTGATACCAAGTGACAAAGGCGCATTACTCCACATTCCTGCAAGGAAACTCAATAATTTAGTTCCTTTCCAAAGTTTTGGGATTAATTTTCTGTCCATGAAGATGGAACAGGTAAAACCTAAGAGCATGGTATCTCAGAGATTTGGACAGCACTGTGTTCTACTCTTGAATTTCTTTTTTTATTATGTTGAAACCATAGTTTTGGCTGAGGTTCATTCACTAATAATCCTCATTATTGTCCTCTACCAATAATTCTCATTGCAGTATCCTAGCTTCCATACAGAAAGGTCAGAGTCAGACCAGGACAGTCCTTGGGGCAGCAGTCCTCTCACCGACTCATTATCCCCCCAGCTGCAGGAGCAGAGTGAAGGCCCTGACGCCTCTTGCGTGTACAGACAGTTCTCAGACCCTCGTACGGTTTGCTACAGCCCCTCTGAGGAGCAGCACCATCCCCAACTCCACATGCACGGTCAAGGTCAACGCTGTGAACGTGGCCGATGCGAAGCGGGGAGATACTTCCTCGGAGCACCTCCACCCATCAACAATGTCCTGTGGAACTCCACCAGGTCCATTTTGCCGCTGAGCAAGAGCTCCTTGGAAAACCATGAAGGATATGAGAGTATGCCGCACATCGCAGCCATCCACAGCTACAATGGTGAGAAACGTGGTGACGTCCAAGTATTTTAACATTTAACAGCTGTTCCTTTTGGTCTTGTTGACACTGAGTACTTACAGGATTTTCTATACATGATTATATTTTAACGGTTGCTGAAGTGCTCAAAGTTCAGACAGAACTTGCAGACAGACAGTTCTCAGTGTGAACATTTTTGGCTTTTATTTGTTCATGACCCTTAGATATTTGTCGAGTGGGAATATCCCTTTAATCCATGTTTGTCAACACAGTCACCCTTGACTTGATGCATTATATGTAGCTGGGATTATACTTGTTTGCTTTTCTTGATTCCAAGAATCTAGCAGTATTAGCAGTAACAGATTGCAGCCACAGATGCCAAAAAGGGTGACAGTGCTTGTTTCTTTGTCCTCCTGCAGGACACGGCCAGTGGGAGGAGGACAGTGTGGTCAGCTCTCCAGATGCAGGCTCAGCCAGTGATTCAGGGGACCGGTACCGAGTTGACCACTACCACTGCAGCCCACACCAACCAACCAAGATCGAGACTATGAACCAGGCCACACAGCAGATGATCAAGGAAGAGGAGACTCGACTCCACCTGCGAAAATGTCCGACTGATTCGCCACTTGGCCCGGCCAATGGACTGCCTAAGGGCGCTGGGTCATGTTTCACCCCTGGGTACTCTCAAGGACCCCTGCCAATACAGTCTGTGGTATGTCGGGGGCTTAATCAGGTGATCAGCCCTGCAAATAGCCCAGCCCCCTTGTCCAGGCTGAGCAGCCCAGGACCTGAGCGCCTTCACAAACCTAAAGACTACCTCCAGACGGACCTGCAACCGATTTCTTTGCCATTACACCACCCATTTGGTCGGTCAGGCCCCTGCTCAGTTTCTCCCACCCTCAGCCCAGCCTTCTACCCCTCGCAGCCGCATCCCCGGCCCTATTTGGACAAGCACACAGCCTACTCTCTGACTGGCTACGCCCTGGAGCACCTCTATGACCCTGACAGTCTTCGAGGTTATTGCGCCTCCGCCAGCACCGGCCCCACCCACTATGATATGACACCACATCTCCGCATACCCATAGAGCAGACGGCTGGACACAAGGGCACCTCTGTCATTATCACCAATAGCAGCTAACGATGAGCTAACACCCGCAGCGTGACTAAGAACACAGTCTGAGCTGGTTATCTCCATTACAGCATTAAAGCCTTTGCATTCTGGATCCTGTTAGCTTGTTTTTCCATCAAACCGCTCAATTCTAATCTTGTTTGTTACCTTATTACAAATTTCCCCTCAGAATCTGCTACAGTAAATATCCATTACTGTGTCTTTTTACGAAATTGGTAATACATACACGCATACATTCATTCATACTAAAACATTTTGAGTCTGAAATTTTGAAAGACGCCCAGGAAAGACCTATCTAAACAGCTGTTTGACAAACAAAGTCGGAGTTCGATAGATTAAAAAAAAGGAGACGTATCGCTGTTTTGATTGAACGACACATGAGCGGCTTCTTCTGCTCTTATTGATACACAAAAAATATATAGTGTATTTTGGCCCTTGGTTGAATAACTGCTACCAACTTTCCCAACATTCAACACTAAAACGATTGTATATGAACGTTGTATGAAGTCTTCCTAGCAAAACATCTGACTGTTTTTTTTTCTTTTTTTTTCAGTACCATTTTTTTCTTTTTTCTCTTTGGATGTCTGCTAAAGTCAGTAATCAGTTCAATGCCACTCAAATTTAAAAGTCTCAACAAGTTCTGTAGAACCTGAAATATGTGACTTTCAGGTGCTTCAGTACTTTTGTCTTGTTTTGTCGACTCCAGGCCTAAAGTCCCGTTCAATCGGTTCCATAAGTCAATTATACAAGTGGAAAAATATCTGCTGACGTGTGTCCCTAAAAACGAAGACAAAAACAAGAACATCCGTTCAGTTTGTCTTTGTATTTCGAGCACGTTGAAAAAGTTAAGCTAATAAGAACTATTTTTTAAACATATTATTAAACAAAATATGATGGAAAAGGAATAGAAAACAGAACTAATTGAAACAGGGCGACCTTGTGCTTGTGTTCAAATTGCTCCGTCATTCGTCCCTTTTGGTTTTACTCTTAACTTTTTGCACTATATGAGATGGAGTGCTCTAGAACGGTTCTCCATCTTTTTCAACGCATGCAAACCAGAGGAAACAATTTGTTTTTATTGTGGTGCACTTTTCAGTAGTGCCTTTGAGAAGGCATCAGTTGGAATTGTTTTCACACCTCACAGACTTAATATGCAAAGCCATTGTGTGGATGTTTCTTTTCTCTAGTTTTTAATAATCTTTCAGGGGAGTTCATCACCTCTTGTGTGAAACAGTGTTGTGCAGCGATACCAGGAGTTACTGACGAAGCTGAAGCTGCAGGAGTAGTTTTCTACATCAGAAAAACGAAAACGATGTTGATGAGGTACTCACTGATGTCCATGCAATTCTTTCTGAGTGACTTTAAGAGTCGGACACTGGTCAGTATATGCAATTTGACCCACTCTATAAATAGGTAGTAGGGCAGCTTCATCACATCCACACACACACACCCGTCAAGTGATTATTATGAGGGCATGTTTGTTTGACCACATTTAAGTTTTTCTTTCTTTACATATTTGCTTCGGTCCTTAGATGAACCTATATTTATACAAGCTTTTGTTTTTGTTTTATTTTTTTATTTTTTCTTCAATTTGTCAGTGCCTAAAATGTGCTCCATCTCTTAAAAGTTATTTATGGTGCGCTGTAAATATGATCAGAATAGAAAAACGGCACCACATTTAAGCACATGGGCAAGAATTGTATTTATTAAGTCAATGTTTTTTTGTGTTTTGAAATAAAGCTTAAAAATGAACGAATTGTGTTTAGTTATGTGAGAGCTGGGCGTCATTTTGTTCTGAATGCTTCTGCAGAGCAGCTTCAAATCTAAATTCAAACTTGTACTTTCTTTATATCAAAACACTAGGGCATTTGCTGTGTTTTAAAATACATTTTAGTGGCGTTTCAAAGCAGTAGTTTTGGATGTGTCAATCCGGGACAACAGTCCTATTCACAAAACATCAAAAAGCAGTTAAAATCGAACCAAATCTCTCTGGTGTAATACAGGTGAACAGTAAATTACCCAGATGACCAACACATGTGGTGGCATAATCAGACCAATACTGCATTAAAGTCTATTATTAACCTCTGACCCGATGTGGTATATATATATTTTTACATATTTTTTTTAAAAAATATAATAATTATCAAATTTAAATTAGTTATGAACTCCTATTTCAGATTTCTGTTCTTATTCATTTTCAACCTCTCACTGTTCTCCCAGCTGTAATCACACTGAGCTGATCGACTAATAGAGGACACTGATGGAAATCAATACAGCAGAATTTTAATATTGTAATTTAGCAAATGGATTTTTTTTTTGGGTGTATAAGGGTCACAGATGAAGGGTTGCTCTTCCCTCCGGTCTTATGAAAACTGTTTTCTCCGTCCACTCTACTGCTGTCTTCTTCCAGGCCCTTGCCTCACCTATTACCTCTGTATTAAAAGCCTGTCAGCCTCACTTTGTTTCCTTTTACCGCAGGGTTTTACTCTCTGCCTCTGTAGCTGCTCTCCATTAGATACAAACGTGTCACTTAGAAACCAGCAAAGCATCAAAAGGCAGAGTCAACAAGAAGGCAGTGTGGGAAGAGCTTCAGGGTCACATCAGAGTGACTACAGACTCTCCAGAGTTAAAGACCATCCATCCAAGTAGACCATAAGAATTGATAAAGAACATTTGGAGTTTAAATATAACAACATGTTTGTTTTTAGCTTAACAAATGAAGTACAAATATGTTTATTTTGATACAGATATCTTACAACATTTGTGAACATGTGTTTCAGTGTGTGCTGTTTTTATCTTGTTTTTTAAATATTTTTTGTTCATTATTATTAATAATAAGGTGTATCAGCTTCTAGTTTATTACTTCTACTTCTTATACTACCTCATAAAAAATCCTTAGCAATTCTGTGGTACAGTCTCCTGTATCTCCTGAAGTATAGTTGGTACCATCACCACCATGAAGCCCTGTGTATTTTAACATAAACAAACTCAACTGTTTTCCTGTTCTGCCAAGAGTTTATGTGCAGCAACGAAGAACACCAAGCAGATCTGTATTCATTAATGAATACTTGGTACTTAGTATGGTATTAGTTTATGTTTAGTGACCAACGCTCCCTAATGTAGGTGGCATATACTTTCATGACGGGGGTCACGATGGAGCAAATAGAGAGAAGTTGGCAATTTGCTCAATAAACGTTTGAAAGCGTTTGAAACTTTTCTATACATTTGTCCAGGAAAGTAAATTCTCACATGTCTCAAAAACCGGATACGATTTAAATGCTGACCTTTGACACAGACCCTTATGACCTGTGAGACCTTCTGTAACACAACGAGATCATGACTGTTGTTAAGAACAGGTGAAACACTTGACCTGACAGCTGGCGATCACTTTCAGTTTGTGTCCACGACAATTGCCCGGTTGTTCTAATTGGATTACTTTACTCAAGTGTTTCCTGGGAGTGATGTAAAGTTCTTTTTCCGGCTCTCCCCTAAAAACCAACCCCTCTCTGATACCCCCCCCCCCCCCCCCCCCCACCCCCCCCCCACCACCACAGCTCCCATCCATTTTTTTCCGGCCCCCCCCAAAAACCCCCCCCCCCCCCGTCCCCCCCCCCCCCCCCTCCGTGCAGTTAGAAGTAGCAGAGCATGTCTAATGGTTGCTCCGTGAGGTTAACTACACTCATTTGTTTGGCAGGCCTTTCTTCGCGGCTACCCATTTATTTCCGTACATGCAGGACATCTCATTGACAAATCATTTACAGATGCTTTCAGCTCCACACGCTCCTGGAACAAGGACGTCACATTCCATGTAATGCAGTGAAAATTAAGAATGTAAAGGTTTGGAGAGCGGGACGGACCGTGGTGAACTTAGTCTAACCCCAAACTCACTTTGACTTTGACTGATCGCTCCCATTCATCCTTAGCAAACATTTTTCACATTCAACCATTAAACAAACCATTGAAGGTTTCCCAACAGGTTAAAGTCAATAAAATTTTGGTAAAATATTAATAAAGAAAAATATTTTTAAAAGGAAGAAAGTATTATTCTACTTTACGTAACACAACCCAACCGAACAGAACTGAGCAGAGCTTTTACACCAGGCGTGCATTTCAATAATAATAAAAAAAAGACTCTTCTGCTTTCGAGACTACAAAGTATCAATTTAAACTAAAAGTATTTCAACGTTTTAGATTCTCTACAGGCGCCTGATTGGTTACTTTAATAAACACCTTGTCTCGAGGAAAGATGGAGAAATGCTGCTGTAGACCTTAAAGTCACACGTCACTGAAGACCTGTTCTAAAATGAGAAGTCTTCAATGCACAAAAGGTCAATCGACTTCCAAAATATCTGTGTGGGAACAGAGGAAGAAAAAATTCTGCCATGAGCCGTTCTAACAGAACCATAAAATAGAGAGTCTCTCAACAACTTTCATCATTCTAAGATTTGACATTTCTGCACAGAATCATGTTAATGAACAGCATAAAGTAATGTTGATTACAGCTGTAGACCAACATGACAGTAAACCGAAGCAGGACATTCTGGAGCAGCTCTCTGCTGCACGTACATCAACAGGAAGTTGACATGCAGGTTTGGCCGATCGTGCGCTGTTAACGACTGGGCTGTGTCCACGCAGGAAACCTAAGCTCCTAATTGTGGCCAAACCCAGACAGGTGAAGAGCCTGCTGTTGGTCCCAGGATTATTTTGGTGGGATGCTCGCACACAAACGCACACACGCAAACCAAAAGTCATGACTCCACGGGTTTGGAGGACATTACATTAACACGCCTGTTGGGTAGATTCAACATCCTGTTAAAATGACAGTAAATTACACTTCATCAGTGTGAAAACACTCTTAATTTCATGGCATGTTGATATGGTTTTAATTACTATAATTAAGGACAAAACAAAAACTCTGTGTTTACAGTCACATCATCAATGGTAGCTTTTCTTACCAAAGACATTCATCACAATTTTTAAATATTGTAAACCTTCTATAACAACATTATTATTATTATTATTATTATTGAGAGTATAGAGAGTGTGTCTGTGCAGCCAATGACATTTCTGTACTTGTCAATATCTCAACCATGCTTTGTTTCTCTGTATACCTGCAGCTAAAGCTAAAGGCCCGTGTGTCTGTGGTATTGATCACTGACAAAGCAGGACAACAGACTCCACTGTTAGTGATGGGGATTATCTTGATTCTCACCCCCCACACACTGTAATCCCGTCCCATTTGAGTTGCGTGGTAGTGTGTTCAAATGTCAGAAAATGTCACAGCGATCAGCATGCATGACAAAAACAATGGTGGAACGACACAAAACCGACAATGTTTACCAAGCAGTGAACCCTCAGAGGATGCTGTTCACAAACACCGTAGCTGTGAACCCTCAGAGGATGCTGAAAATATTCACCTGGCAGCATGTTTTAGGACCTAATCCACAAACACCATAGCTGTGAACGCCAGCCCTTTAAAAACTTGTGAAAAACAGGTGTGTTGTTTTTTTGTTCTCTTTCTTTTAGCTCATCTTGAAGGCAACTAAAACAAATGAGATTTTAGACTGGCCCACAATCCTTCAAATTAGGGCCACAGCTTGATTCCAATATAACGATATTTAAACTTTTTCCCCAATTGTTATTTTTTTTATTCATTAAATTTTCTCATTTGAACTATTGTAATCATTATTGTCATTTACGAATTAAACAATTAATCTTCAATCATATTATGTAAATATTTATAAGAATAAATGCTCCTACTTTAGACAATT